AAAGTTTAAATAGAAACCTTTCATAATATTCATGGGAGAAATGAGAATGTTTTTTCAGATTTTTTTTTTTTAATGATGGAACCATGGCTTTGTAGCTATGATAACATTCAATTCTCTAAATTTTTCCGCATGTCAAAGAAAAAATTTATTGATTCAGCATACCATCTAGTGAGTTTATATGGCCATTTTTAATATTATTGTGGTATATGGCTACACAGGATACTTTTTTAAGCATAGGAACTACATTTAAAGTGTCCCCAACAACCGTAATGAGTGTAACTAATAAGGTGCTCCACTTTATGGTAAAACTGAAGTCAGCCTGTATCAATATTCTCTAAAATGAAGATGAAGTACAATATCAATATCCAATACCCAGCAAAATTCTAACTTGTCACATTTCAAATAATAACCAGAAATATAAAACTACTCTTGAGTTGGGTAAATACCACAATTTTGCGGTGATAACTATGACATATAACAGCTGATTCGTGACGTCACGGATCTTATAACCAAACTGATAACTACACTCGCTTGAACGGATCGGTAAATACCAACCCAAAATGGTAAATACCATTTCCATTGGTTATCCGCTTGAATTTGATTATTATGTCCTAAAGAGTTGTCACGTCAAATCGTATTATGGTATTCGGTCACCAGAAGGCAGCACTTCACATGTCAAATCCATCATTAGTCGTTCGGTTGGCCAACATTAGAGTTCTGGGCGAAGATTAGTCGATTAAAACCTGCAAGGACTTACAAGCAATTAGGGCATAAGCGATAGGAAACGAATTATTTTACAAAAAATAAAAAAACAATGACTCTTTTGATGCGGAAATCAAACTCGAACCGACGTATATTTTTACGACCAGTCAAAAGCATTCATTTCAATAGTAAAGTGTGGTCGAAACCTTAAAACCGTACAAGAGCCATGTTGACGTTACACTTGTGAATTCAATCGCGAATAGTAAAAGAATGATGTTACAAAAACTGTTCCAAGTAAGATTTGGGGTCGATTGGGAAGATAACATTCCGTTATTATCCTTAGCTTCCTTCAGTCATGCCTTAAATTATTGCGCCACAAAATCCAGTTGGACACCGAAGCGATGACAAGATCTATGATCTATGATAGTTATGATTTCAATAAAAATGATTATTAGAAGCATAGACCATTTATATGAAAACACCTTGCTATGCAGGCTTAAAATGAGCGAGAACAAAAAATACAGCAGGTATTTCGATTACTGATTATTCATAAACTTACTATAAAACTCGTTTTTCTCGAAAAGCTTATATTAGAACCTATAACTCTAAGCCAGTAATATGTGGTCACTGTTAGGCAACATTCAGAGGTAAAATGCAATTGAATAATCATAAAATCAAGAAACACCCTGACTGTATTGCATCCATTTCTAGTAAAATATATGAATAAGCATGTGCTTATAAAACTGCAATCATAGTAATTTTGCCATATGTGGAAATATACAGATTGGGTGTAATGTGATATTCAAAGGACATGGAGACTGAATGCTCATATACTCAGGAATATCCTTAGTTTATTTCATCCGGTTCTACAAATGTAAATGGTGTCTCAGAAATATTTTCGTTTTAGATCAGTCTCTGGCGGAATACGCATGCTCAGGAGAAACGAGACAGTTGACAAACGTTTGGCAACATTGTTAAATTTTAGTTGCAATGGAGCGTTTACAGGGCCGCAACGTGCTTTTTGTGTTCGCGAGTTCTATAAAAACAAGGATTCTTATGTGCTTGTACGTCGTTTGTACAGAAATCATTATACCATAGCAAGAATGAGTGATGTCCCAAGCGCAAATTTAATTAATATTGGGTAAGAAAGTTCGAGAGCACTGGAAACACGTGTATTAGTAAACCGCCTGGACGGCCAAGGTCAGCAAGATCGAACGAAAATATTGAACGTGTGCGCCAGTCCGTTAACGAGGATCCCGGCAATCATTAAGACTGCGTGGAGCGTCTCTAACTTTGCATAAGTCAACTGATCATCGCATTATTCGCAAGGATTTGCATTTTCACCCATACAAGATTGTTGTTACACAACAATTAAAACCACAAGATCCCGCTAATCGATTAGAGTTCTGTAGAACAATGAGAGAGCATTTTAACGGTTACAACAACATATGGTTTTCTGATGAATCGAATTTTCACATTAACGGGCATGTTAATAAACAAAACTGCCGATATTGGGCCGAGCAGAACCCGCAAAATCTTCATGAGACGCCATTACACTCGCCTAAAGTTATCGTCTGGGCTGCTATGTCAGGGCAAGGAATCATTGGCCCGTATTTTCTTGAAGACAATCGTGGCCAAGCTCAAACTGTAACATCTGAGCGCTACTGCCACATGATTAGGACTTTTTTAACTCCAGCTATACAGAACCATGGTGGCTACAATAGAAACACGTTTTTCCAGCAAGATGGAGCGACTTCTCATGTCACGAATGAATCCTTGGATGCTCTTCATCAGTTATTCCCAGAGAGGGTCATCAGTCGCAGAGGAGACATTAACTGGCCACCGAGAAGTCCCGATTTGACACCAGCAGATTTTTTCTTATGGGGATACCTGAAGAGTAAGGTATACACCCCACCGCCACAAGATTTGAGAGAGTTGAAGCAAAAAATAACAGATGAAATAAACGCCATTCCTCGAGCAATGCTTCGAGAGTGATCGAAAACTTCAGTTCGAGATTAAGAGAGTGTGAAAACATGAACGGTGCTCATTTATCCGATACTCTTTTCCATAAATAAAATTAATGTTTAGGCTTCGTTTGGTAATAAATTTATCTTTGTAAAAATATTCTAAGTATTTTTATTTATGGCATAAAATAAGAAATATTTATGAGACACCCTTTACATATAAACCAAGTTGATCTTGTTAAACATTATGTGAATATAATAAATACATGGATTTTGCAAACAAAATCGATTGAACAATCATTTCAGATATTATGTTCTATCCACGCACCGAGGAACGCGAACGGGAAATGTGTGCGTTCTATACAGGCTGTCCGCAAAGTTGGGATTTTACACAGCATATAGATAATGACAAATAAACTGTTTTTCCTAATAGCATATACACCAGTCTAAAGATAACCTACATCATGTCGAAAATGAAAGGTGAGAAGGCATCTTTAGGATTGTCATTTAGGTTTTTCGGGCTGTTGAGCCGTGGTCGGGTTGGATTTGATCCAGAGCTTTCGGCTACGTCTGCGGTAGCCATCTTCAGTGGCGCTGTCGGCAAGAGCGAAGTGCTCGGCTTGGCGGGTCGACTGAAACTGATCCGTCAACTGGATGGGCGTGGGGTTTTATAGGCGATCGGCAGACTGAGGATTGAGCTGTCTGGTGGGGGTACTCTGGGTCCCTTGAGTGACGTGCTTTTAGCGCAGTGATTTTTTAGAATTGGAAACCACGTTTTGTTTAAAGCAATGGCGTCTTCTTTTCTATTGAAATTATCATTGAAGATGGCTACCGCAGATGTAGCCGAAAGCTCTGGATCAAATCCAACCCGACCTCGGCTCAACAGCCCGAAAAATCTAAATGACATTACAATTAGCCGTGAAAGCCTTCATTCTTCAATTTCATCTTTAGGATTGTTTGCAATTTTATTGAGGGTTCCAATGATTTGTATGCCTGGAATACCGTCGAAAGCTTATATTTGTAGAGTGGCCTTGTGTAGATATCTAATGAATTTGTATTTATTTTGTTTTCTATTTGCATACAGTAAATCCATACTAACATACATATTGCACTTTTCTGTCTCGTACACGACGTCAGAGGTATTCGGTTTTCAGGGTATGGATTTCACTGTATATCATTCGAAGTTAAATAAAATATTGGTAATACTGTGGTTATGCTTTATTTTCATAATTCCTTACAATTCTTCATACTTCATCAAAATCGTTTGTCTAAGTTTGTCCGGAAAGTTATTGTTTTTCTATTTTTGTGGGATAAAAAAGCCTGCAAGTCTCGGCAAATTGCGTACGTTATTTTCAAGGATATATGCCTCGCATACAGGATGGTTAACCCTTAATTACTCGCATGGGGTCAAAGCAGTTTCGCATTCAAAAACGAAGGATTTCCCGCGGTCCTAATTTCCCCGCGCCCCCGCTAGCTTGAGACCGCGCGTCGACGTTTGTGTTTTAGTAGCGACGATGTCACAGGAGTCTAAGGACACGTCGTTGCGCTTTTGAGCAGTGACCCCGTGCGACTAATTACGTTACTTTTTTGAAAAAGGTAAGTTGCTTATTTTATGTATTTTTTTGTGTTTTATTGATCCGATTTGTATTATTGAATGTCCAGTTTATAAATTTATTTAATAAATATGTTTTGTGTAGTTTTATAAAATGAAAGTACCGAAAAATTACGTTTTACTATGAGTTTTGTATCTGTTTCCAGAATTCGTCATGGATAGAAGAGAACAAATTGAGAACTGGTTGGTTGAGGCTTCTGATGAAGAACAAGTTGGAGGGTCAAATTCTGAGTCGGAGTTAGACGAGATAACACAAAGCGATATAATAGTGCTAGTGAAATCGACGAATTGTCCGCACACTCCAGTGAGTCTTCAGACAGCGAGGACGACGGCTGTGCAGGGCAGTATGATAAATTCTATTTTACCAGACATAATGGCAGAAACGGTCCTAAACAAAGATGGTCAAAGTCTCCACCAACAAGCTCCGCAAGAACACGAAGACATAATATAACTTTACACTTACCCGGTGTCAAGTCATCGGCGAAATCCGCAAAGACTGCTTTGGAATGTTTTAGTTTGTTTTTTTCTGATGACATTATCAATTTGCTGGTAAAATGTACAAATCAGTACATCGAAGTCGTCAGAGGCAAGTTTCAAAGGGAACGTGACGGAAAAGATACAGACGTTGAAGAAATAAAAACATTGCTGGGTTTGTTGATCATGTCTGGAGTGTTGAGAGCTTCACATCTCAATTTCATAGATCTCTGGGCCACCGACTGAACCGGTGTAGAGATGTTTCGTTGGAACACTGAAGAAAAACAAACCCGATATACCTGAGGAGATTTTACCAGACAGAAGTCAATTCAGCTGTCTGTTCGGATTTCAAAAGACTCTAACCATGGTTTCAAATGTGCCAAAACCAAATCAAGCTGTTGTGTTGTTTATCCTCCATGCACCATGGAGCTTACATCGGCCCAGGTTCAGGTTATCAGCAGACACCTGGAATAATTATGTATTACAGCTTCACTAAAGGAGGAGTGGACACCAATGATCATTTGTGTGGTACATACAGCGCAGGAAGGCGAACCAAACGATGGCCGTTAGCTATTTTCTTCCATCTTATAAACGTTGCATGCATAAATGCTCTCGTTGTACATCGGGCAAATACCACTAAATCACGTACTAAAATGACGCGTAATTTTTTGCGGCAATTTTCCGTTGAACTTGTCCATAATCACCAGAAACGTCGGCTTGATGTCCATTCAACTCCTAAAGTAATAAAGAAACGACTTATAGAAGTTCATGACTTGGACAACCGCGCCCCACCAACCACTGCAAAACGTGGGCGTTGCAACAACTGCCCGCGGAAAAGTGATCGAAAAGTATTCACCAAATGCAAAAAGTGCACAAAATTTGTGTGCAATGATCACTCAGACATATACTGTCAACAGTGCAAGAAAAGTGATTCGGATAGTTCCTAACATAATCATAAAAATTTGCCTTGATCTCTTGATATAAGTGCAAATTGTTAATTTTCAACTATTATTTTATATAAGCTCATTTTTTTTCATTAGATAGTAATTCATGTTAGTTCCCTTAAATATCATAATATAAATAAAGCACTTTAATAATAAAATAGTTTGATTTCATTTTATATTTAATATATATTAAAAAAATATCCTACAACTTGGGGTCACCTGTGACCCCATGCGAGCAGTTATGTAATGTTCTTCATGCGAGTAATTAAGGGTTAAACATATTAATGACCGATTTATTTCTCTAGTATCTTCCAAAAAAGGAGTGAATATGTTTTCATCTTAATTTTTAGTAAAGTTACGCTTGTGTTTGCGCGTTATCCTACATCATCTCGAGTTTGTCTATTCCAGAAATTTGTTTTCAATTTGAGGCAAAATTGCCACGTAGTATAGTGGCGGAAAAGCAAGTTCTTTTATGTCCAAACTTAGTGTTGAGTTGCCATTTGAAATGCAGTCGTGTTTCAGAAAATGAGAAGTAGCCTTATTCAACGACTCGGCGGAACTTTCACCAAGTACTCGGATATTGCTACATTTGAGGAAGATGTTAAGGACACAAGTTGAGAATGTTCTTGCAAGGATCGATATTAGATCGTCATATGTCCTAGTACAATTGTAATGCTCTGTCCAACTCTACAGTCAAAACTTGACATTTATGACATACGTCAATTCTTCGTCTTCTGTGAGCCTTTTGAGTTTCAAATTAGTGTTGTGGTTGTGTTCTGTGACTGCAAAACTGTACCAAACATTTATGTAAATTTATTAGAAATAGAAGTATTATAAATTTTGTAATCAGTTCATCGTCTTTCTATCTTTAATAAGGTATTGTATTAATGCTATACTAGAGTAAAAACTTGTAAAGCAGAATTTTAATACTTGAATCAGGATTGTTAACAAACCTGCCTCTTGTATAAACGATCATGGACGCTGGAGACATCATGAAGATAGAAGTTGGATTCCAGGCAGTAGATACAAACACCAAGCTATTTGAACTAAAACATTCAGGTTTGGATAGGTTAGGGATTCTAATTCATTTTCTGGATATTTTTTATCATATATCCTATATTTCAACGGCGCTTACTTTCAAGATGTGACTTCCAGTTCCAGAAATTATATTTCACTTAAATATCAAACTTCAGACTGATGGTGTTTCAGAACTGCAATATGTTTGTGGATAACTAAGGAGCACAATTATGCTAAGGCTTTGATAAAAAGTGGGGTAGATGAAGAACTGAAAGTTGAAAGCTGTCTTGGTGACAACGAGAAATATCCAGTTATGGGAATTACAGAGGAATGTATCATCAAAGATGAGTGTGATAATGATGATACACTTTTAGGTACAAATGCAGAAATAGTTCCTGACAGGTAACAGTTTTTTTCTGTTTTTCATGTCCTACAACTGGTGAGGAAATAATTTTAATGTATAAAATTTCAAAAATCATGTCAACTAATTTCATACTACTAATCCTGGGCTCTGTTATAACTTGTTTTATGATATGAAAGTTGTGAATGTGGGGTTTCTGAGGATGAGGTATGTGATTATATTGTATTTATTCTATTTTAGAAGCGTTAGTGAATATAGTGAGGATAATGGTCAAAATGTTGCCCCTCCTGAAGTTGAGGGCAAAATAAGGGAGCTGAAAATCACAATTGAGAGGATGGATCCAGAAATAATCGAAAAAATGAAATATTCTTCTACAGATACAGACACACCTGACCTTCATGCAAAAGAAAAAAAGGATCTTCCGTCAAAAAGGTAATTGTGGCTAGTTATATATTTATTGAGTCTAGTATTATTTACGTTTGTCTTTCAACATGAAATCTCTGTTGGATGGACACCAATGGGACCGACTGAAAGCATCTGTTTAAGAAATACAACAGAAATCGTGTTTTTAATGCAAACAGAATATATTAAAGAAACTGAGAAACATATATCTATATAAAAGGTGTTGAAATAAACAAAAAACTTTAAACTTAAGAAAAAAAAGGTTTGTTTAGATATATTCAAAGTATGTACATACAAATTATGTATAATATATGTATTTTCACATATATGTAGTAACACAAAGCAATGAAATAAAAAATCACTTTGAGGTTGCCAAAATTCATATTTTGTCGTTTATCGCCTCTTTTTCTTTAAAATGACGTCTAGAAATTGTATTTCTAATTCAAAAGGAAGCTCCAAAGACTCTGTATCTCCATGATTTTCAAAATAACTTATGAGCTTTTTTTACCATAATTTCGAATAACTTCTGTTGGTACTGGAATCTCATTGATATCAGAATCTTTGGATAGTTCTTGTATGTCAGGTGTCTCTGCCTCATTTAAGTGGTCTTCACTTAGTCCCAAGTGCTTTTTGCCAAATAAACTGCATCCAGTGATGTTAACTCAAAAGCTGTACCAGCAGTTTCAATGTCTTTTAGCTGGTGTTTCAGTATTAGACTTTGGTTATAAATGTTAAACATCTCTATAAGCTGATGTACAAGTATGGTGCAAAATAAGATTTTTATATTATTCAAGTGAATGTCTTGATGAGATCCTGTCTCATCTAATATTAATGAAATGTTTCTTTTTTCTTTAGCCATTTTCCAATCTAATTATTTCAAGCACTATGTCATAATTTGTCTTGTCATCCAAGCTTTCCTATTCAATTTTCAAAGTTACAGGTTATGTTAATGTTTTGAAAGCTCTAGGTTTAGCGCACTTTAAAACCTATATTGTGGTGAATTCTAAATTTATTGAGCCAACCAGACGAAGCACAGAATGTAGAATATCCCAGCGAATCGGCTATTTCTTTTGCTTTGCATCATATGAACCTAAAAAAAAAAAAAATATGTTTTTGTCACGACAAACCTATTGATAATCTCACTGTTTTTATCTTTATTTAGAATTGTTATGTAAAAAAAATCAACATAATAATACAAAAAATCTTATCTAAAAAAATGATGTGCATACATACCTGTCAAAGGAATCCCTTTAAAATGTTTGAACAAGTTCCTTACACTTAACTTCTCCTTATTGTGAACTTCAACAATCTCAATATTTTGTTTAAGCATCAGAATTTTTCTATTTGGAGCCATTTCTGTTTAAAGGTATCCGCAAAGGGGAATTTCACTGTATTATACAACTCACTGCATAATTTTTTCATATAAACCATTTTTTGACACCACACTTCTTATTATCTTATTTCACTTTTGATTAATTTGTATGGTTTTTTATCTCCTTTGGCAATGCAGAAAAACGGGGAAACCATGGCCGAAAAAGGTGTCCTTCTAAATAGGAGTTCAAATAGAAACGACAGAGTATGACTATAAATTTGTTCAAATAATGCTATTGTGTCTTAGTAAGATGTCATCTTTTAATGAGATACAGGATGTCGAAGTTTATTTTTCAATTTTGTTTGAGAATCGAAGATCTTTGATGACGAGGAGTGATTGTATTGTATTTATTCAATTTTAGAAGCACCTGTGAATATAGGGTGGATAATGGGCAAAATGTTATTCCTGCTGAAGTTAGGAGCAAAATGATGGAGCTGATAATAAAAATTGAGAGGATGGATCCAGAACTTCTTAAAAATATGAAATATTCTTCTCAAAATTCAGACACACATTCCTTTGATGAAAAAGCAAAAGCAGTTCTTCCTTCAAAAAGGTAATTATGGTTTATTATTTATGTTTAATAATAATGATAATTTCACTTTTGCTTGTGACAAAAAATCTTATTTACTTACATACCACCTACTGCATAAACTTAAGTATAAAATAAAACTGGTTGATGCTACATTTTCACAAAAAAATTAAACGATATTTTATTTAATTTGTGATACGCGTTTAGGCTTGTAATTGGTAAAATTTAACTTATGGGAGAATTTATAAAAATTAAAAGAATAGTATATTATGTACCTAGTTTGTGGGGTGTAGCACTACTAACACTATATATTACAAAATATTTGGTTTTTCATCACAATTCCCAATCGCGTATTCAACACTTGGAATAGAAAGAGTGTAAAGTGAGCAGTCAATAGATCCAATGTGTATTTTTGTGGAATATTTTTTTTGTGAAAGCCTACTTGTGTTTCCATTAAAAAATGTTTCTTCTATAATCTGCATTAAATGGTTATATACTATGGAATTTTCCAATATCTGCTAACACATTTATTGGATGTTGCTACATTTTTTGGAATTGATTTACCTTAGGAACTGGCATTGTAGAGCATTTCAAAATGTCAGGCAAAGAACTCATCATTGAACAATTTATCCAATTTCGGATGACTTTAGTAGTGATTTCAGTACTGTTGCAGTTGGATTTTTAACTGTTAATTTTTTTCTGAGAAAATGCAATTATTTCATTTTACACAGTAATAGCAATTTGATGTCTTCCAGTGAAGACAAGCAGGTAAAAAGCACGCTATGTCATGTGTTCTTCATATTCCAAAATATTTCCAATATTTCCAAAATATGTGGTAACGGTTATAAAAATCGTAAAAATAAATTTCCATGTGAAATACCTTGAAATCATCAACGAATTAAAGATTATATAGATATATATATATATAATTTGAGACGTGGTCATTGTCGTCTAGACCAGTTAGGTGAAAAATTAAAGGATCTTATTTATGATTCTATGCCCACCATTTTGTGCAATCATCAGGTGGTTCACGATGTAATTTTTAACTTTCGTTTTAAATATTTTTAATCCGTTTTAGTTTATTCTTGACATACAGCTGTGTGTAGTTTGTATTAATTTTGACAATTGTACCATGTATCCAGCTTTCACCAGGTTACTGGGTGTTTCCCTCAACCTAAACGTAAATAACATTTAGCAACATCCTCACATACTACTCTCCTGATGATGATGGCAAAGACCATTGAAAGCTAAATAGAATAATAAAGCATAAATAGTCCTTTTTGCTTAAATTTTGTCGAAGTACCCAACAAAAGGCGGAAGCTTTAATTATTCACCTATATATATACAGGGTGACTTCGAAGTTGAGTCATTTATTTTAACAGTGAGTAGATCTGATGAAAAGAAATGTTTTTTTCCTTTACCATTTTTCTGGTAAAATTAAAGTAACACAGTTATAGCCCTTTGGAAGTTTGAGTACCGCCCTGTTCAATAATACTCGTAATATCATGTGCTCGTGTTTGGCAACAACGGATATAATCCGCCTCGGTTCATCGCATCGGAAACAAAAAAGCGAAAGAATTTGGAACGATGTTTTACAATTATTTTCTTCAGTTCAGTTATACATACAGTCAGTGACAGTCGGTAAGGCGTGTGAATAGTGTCTGTTGCGTGGCTCAAACGAAATAAAAAATGGCACATGTTTATGCGGATCGCTTTCCCAATCGAGTGCAACCAACCCCTCGTGCCTTTGTTAATGTAGTACAACGGGCTCGTGAATCAAGTGACTTAAGACCTCACAGGAGACCTCACGATCAAATACAGGTCCGCACTGAAATACTTGTCGGGAGGATACTTTATAAAACAAGGTAAACAATTTTTTTTTATTTTTACACACATATTTTGGATTATCTTCCTTCTACAATCATTATCTGAAAATTAATGACTCAACTTCAAAGTCACCCTGTATATATATATATATATATATATAAAACTTGAGACGTGGTCATTGTCGTCTAGACCAGTTAGGTGACAAATTCAAAGCTTCCGCCTTTTGTTGGGTACTTCGACAAAATTTAAACAAAGAGGACTCTTTACACTTTTTTAATCTCTCTAGCTTTCAATGGTCTTTGCCATCATCATCAGGAACTGCAATAACATTGAGAAAAGTAGCAACAATTATGCAAAATGAATTTAAATTAACTTACAGTAGTATGTGAGGATGTTGCTAAATGTTATTTACGTTTAGGATGAGGGAAACACCCAGTAACCTGGTGAAAGCTGGATACATGGTTCAAAGGTCAAAATTATACAAACTACACATATGACAAGAACAAATTAAAAACAGATTAAAAATATTTAAAACGAAAGTTAAACATTACATCGTGAACCACTTGATGATTGTACAAAATGGTGAGCATAGAATCATAAGTAAGATGATTTGCCAAAGGTTGTACAAATGAATAAACATAAACTTCCATGTTGTTAGTGATGTGAGAAATATTTTGAGGTTCTGAAAAAATAAATTGTAGCTGAGGCATGCAACGAAAATAAGAGATAATGGGCAGTCTTTAACATTTAAGAAATACGACGAGTTTTATTGGCCACGTTCTTGAGAAACACCGTGACGTTGAAATCAAAATCATTCTAAATAAAATACTTAGTGCCCCTGGTTCCAGATATGCAGTATTCAAAGTGTTTGCACTAAATTTTAGTTAGATGTTATTTTGGTAACATTAATTGCTTATTTCTTGTAAATTGAATCCACAGTATTTATCTGTTACATTTTTCGAATTTCAAGCTTTGACATATCGGAACTCTTTTCCGAATTAACTATAGTTATATTTTTTCAGGGCTTTGAATCAAGATGCAATGAAACAACAGCCTATAGTTGACAAAAAAACAAACACCGAGTCATTTTTTTGTCATAATTGTAATTCTTCTGCTAGATCTAAGTATCTTCTGATTAGTCATATGAAAGAACATAGAAATCAGAATAGTAAAAACATGCACGGTACCAGCTATAATCGTAACACGTGCCAACATTGTCATGAGAAATTCTTAACTAAAACAAAGTTAGATGGACACATGATTAGAAAACATCCAGAGTTTGTTGCGTCCGTTTCTATTAAGATTCATAAATGTTCATATTCCAAATACAAAACAACCCGTAAAAGTGGTCATGGTAAAAATATGTTGAAACATCCTGAGTCGGTAAGTAACTCTCAATTCAGCATATGTATTCACTGTAATGCAAAATTCGCAAGGACAAGGTCATTGGACGATCATATAATCAAGAAACATCCTGAATTTATTGCATCCGTTTCTAGTAAAATACATGAATGTATACGTTGTGCTTATAAAACAAACAGAAAGAGTGATTTTGTTAGACATATGCTACAACATCCAGAGAAAGGAAATAAATGCGCATGTACTCACTGTAAGGCAAAATTCAGTGGAAAAAGGGTACTGAATGATCATATAATCAAGAAACATCCTGACTTTATTGCATCCATTTCTAGTAAAATATATGAATGTACACTCTGTGCTTACAAAACAACCATCAAGCATATTTTTGTTAGTCATATGCTACAACATCCAGAGACAGGAAATAACTATAATTTCAGCATATGTATTCACTGCAAGGCAAAATTCAGAGGTAGAAAGGAACTGGATAATCATATAATCAAGAAACATCCTGACTTTATTGCATCCGTTTCTAGTAAAATACATGAATGTACACACTGTGCTTATAAATCAACCAACAAGAGTTATTTTGTTGGACATATGCTACAACATCCAGAGACAGCAAGTAACTATAAATTCAGCGTATGTACTCACTGTAAGGCAAAATTCAGAGGTAAAACGGAACTGGATGATCATATAATCAAGAAACATCCTGACTTTATTGCATCCGTTTCTAGTAAAATACATGAATGTACACATTGTGAATATAAAACAACCATCAAGAGTAATTTAGCTAGTCATATGCTAAAACATCCAGAGTCAGGAAATCACTATAAGTTCAACATATGTATTCACTGTAAGGCAAAATTCAGAAGTAAAAGGGAACTGGATAATCATATAATCAAGAAACATCCTGACCTTATTGCATCCGTTTCTAGTAAAATATATGAATGTACACACTGTGCTTATAAAACAGTCATCAATAGTTATTTTGCTAAACATATGCTAAAACATCCCGATACAGCAAGTAACTATAAATTCAGTGTATGTACTCACTGTAAGGCAAAATTCAAAAGTAAAACGGTGCTGAATGATCATATAATCAAGAAACATCCTGACTTTATTGCATCCGTTTCTAGTAAAATACATGAATGTACACACTGTGCTTATAAATCAACCAACAAGAGTTATTTTGTTAGACATATGCTACAACATCCAGAGACAGGAAATAACTATAATTTCAGCGTATGTACTCACTGTAAGGCAAAATTCATAGGTAAAGTGGAACTGGATGATCATATACTCAAGAAACATCCTGACCTTATTGCATCTGTTTCTAGTAAAATACATGAATGTACACATTGTCCATATAAAACAACTATTAAGAGTTGTTTTGTTAGACATATGATAACACATCCAGAGACAGGAAATAACTATAATTTCAGCATATGTATTCACTGTAAGACAAAATTCAGAAGTAGAGTGGAACTGAATAATCATATAATCAAATTACACCCTGACTTTATCGCATCTGTTTCTAGTAAAATATATGAATGTACACATTGCCCATATAAAACAACTATTAAGAGTAGTTTTGTTAGTCATATGCTAAAACATCCAGTGACAGGAAATAAGTATAATTTCAGCATATGTATTCACTGTAAGGCAAAATTCAGAGGTAAAATGGAACTGGATGATCATATAATCAAGAAACATCCTGACTTTATTGCATCCGTTTCTAGGAAAATACGTGAATGTACACATTGCGCATACAAAACAACTATTAAGAGTAGTTTTCTTGGTCATACGCTAAAACATCCAGAGACAGCAAGTAACTATAATTTCAGAATATGTATTCACTGTAAGGCAAAATTCAGATCTAAAACGGAACTGAATAATCATATAATCAAAAAACATCCTGACTTTATTGCATCTATTTCCGGTAAAATATATACATGTGCACATTGTGCTTATAAAACATCCTTAAGGTGTAATTTTGTTAGGCATATGTCGATACATTCAGCTCGGTAGAGTAACTATAAATCCAGCATATATGTGAAATTCCAAAACAGAGTGATAATAAGGAAAGATATGCATCCGTTTCTAGCTTATAAAACAAGGCACGTACCACATCACGGAACATTTAGTTCAAGTGTCTTACGTGCACGTGCTAGTGGAGATTTGCGCTTTAAACGTGGAGTGGATGGGGGTCGGGCTCACCCATAACGCGTTTTAAATGCCGAATATGTGTGAACTGTTACCCTGTATTATTTTATTATCTCGATTTCTGTACGACTTTTATCACATTTTTTTTTTCGAGAAATCAACATTTTCCGTAACAGTGCATATGACCGTCTACCTGTCCTTTGGCATCCAATACCTCCGAAACAAAAAATGACAAATGACAAATAGTACCTCTGAAACAAATTGTGTAACAGAAGCCAAGTTAGTGACAGTTGACCGATTTGTCATGAATCCATGTTGGGTTGTTACGATATCGCTTCTAAGAGGCGTATACAGAGTAGAGAACAATATAATCTCAAACAATTTGCCGAAATTGCATATGATTGATATTGCACGGTAATGTTCGATTATGCTGGCGTCGCCAGATTTAAGAATTGGGCAAAGTTTAGTTATTTCCCAGATGTTTGGGTATGTATTAGTCCTTAAGATCATATTGCAAATGATGGAAAGTGGTTTATGCAGTCTTTGACAATAAAGCTTGGAACCAGAGCAATACCAGATGTTAATTTGTTATGCAACTTGCTGGATGCTTTTATTATATCATCTTCAGAAATTTCATTTAAGGCAGTTGGAACAATCTGTAAGATGTATGTTGTCAAAGTCACTTGCAGCAGACCGCTAAAAAACACTAGTAAGTACTACAAGTACTACGCAAAACCATTTACTATATTTCCAAAGATTTGTCATCATTTTTCATCACTCCCGGGATTCTAGTTATCCTATTTTTAACACGCTTTTATTCGCTTGGCCTATATGTATATCTGTAACGGAATCTTGGAGCATAGCGTTCACCAATTTCCACGCTCAGAACTTTGACGGGTTTGACAAGATGGAGTGTTTAATGTTTTGGACGATAGCTGCATAGGAGGTTTTAATTTCATTTTTGACTAATCTCCTTAAATCCTTAAATTTCGTTTCATGATACTCCGTTTTGAATCTTCCGAAGTCCTTTCTAGCCTTGTCTTTATTTCATTCGTTATATTAGTATATATTTATAACAAATTTGATATTGCTATATGTGAATATAATAAAATACATGGATTAGTGAGCTCATGAAAGAACCAACAATACTGGTGTCTTTTGCCAATGTTACAAACAAAATTGATATATATAGTCGAAATCACGAAAGATGACGATTACGTCAACATTTTAGTCTGTAGTAAAGACACACGACAGCGATTTGTGAATATATTTAATAAAGTTTCTGATATGTTAGACAGAGACAAACAGAATTTTATTGTCAAAACAAAATGTATTGCTAATTTGCATGTATCCGACAAAGATAGACGATGTTTTCATGTTGCATGATCGATCATATTTGAACGATGAATAGTTAGGTTATGTTCTTGCAGGTTATGTTGTTTTCGAGTAATACTTTGGTCTTTGGTGTTCCTGTCATAGAGCCGTTTTACACACAAGAGAATTACTCCGAAAATTATGGTCATAATTATGCCGAAAATTTTTGCTGTCGTATTACACGTAAAAGAATTCTTGTGAAAATTTTCATGGTAAAAATATAAAACCCGTTCTATATTATATGCGCGAGAATCGGCGCAGAGGGTTATTTCCGTGCATGTCAATATCAAATGTCAACGACAACAACAACAACATAACCTCACTTAACATTTGTGGGAGTGGTCCGGTTCGAGTCGTACGAAGGAGCGTTTATTGTTATTGTTTATTCATAATGTCGTGGAATCGGGAAGAATTTACAATGTTGTTGGAGGAGTACCAAAAATTTCCAAACCTGTACAAGGTGAAGTCACCCAATTACAAAAACAGAAATTTGCGGCGTCAGGCGCTGGATGCGATAGTCCAAGCATTGAGAAGTTTTATAATATTAACCAAGATCTCGATTTCAAAAATAAATTTAAATTATCGACGTCTGTTGTCTTTCCGATTATATTGGACGTCATACCCGTTAAGGTTATGTCCATTTGAAAATATAACTCTAATGCGCAGGCGTATCATATGAATTACTCCGAAATTTTGTTTGCTTGTGTCATACAGGTTGTAGAGAAAATCTTCAATATTTTTTCCATGCAAATTTTCAGCATAATTATGACCATAATTTTCGGAGTAATTCTCTTGTGTGTAAAACGGCTCTTAAGGTATTCTACTCATAACTGTTTTTTTCAAAACAAAAACTCCCCATTAAAATTATTATTAAGATATCACTCGAAACCATGAAATAGAATGAAAATAATCAGTGAAATAACCTAACTTAAGGCAAAATCATAATATAAATTTGTTGTCATTATGTGATTTTATCATCGACTTATGTCCATTGATTACTTCAGTACAATAATTGTAATTTATGGTATGACGACGTAACGGTCATCTTTCGTGATTTTGACTATATATCATATTATGTCCTATTCACGCAGCGAGGGAACGCGAACGCGAAATGTGTGCAATTTATATAGGGGGTCCGCAAAGTTGAGATTTTACACAGCATTTAGATCATAACAAATAAGCAGTTTTTCCTAGACTATAACTATCTAAAACTGTAATGACTCATCGATGTTCACGTGAACATCACTTAACGCTTACATCTGACAGTAATAAACTGTCGCTATCGCTTTCCTCGTTGAAATTGACTATAACTGGCTCTATGATGGTGTCGATGTGGTGGTCAAGCTGCCACATTTTTGTTTCTTCCTTCACAACATGACGGATAGCATTCTGCCAAGCTTCGGGCGTTACTAGCTGTATGGAAGTCTCAAGTAAAACCTTAACGTCTGGTAATTTGAAGGTTGTGTTATGGCGCGCAATATAACCCTTCACTTGAGCCAAGATGAGCTCTATTGGGTTCAGCTCACAGTTGTAGGGCGGTAACCGCAGCACAGTGACACCACATTGACGGGCCATCTCATCAGTCACGTAACTAATGTTCGCAGGTTTGTGCTGTTTAATTTTTTTAAACAATTCCGCTTTCACACATGAATCGTCAAACGGGATTCCTTTTTCGCGCAACCATTGCTGCATGTCACTTTTTCGAGATCCCATAGTCGGTACACGTTCGGCTCGACGACTACGGTAGGAAGCATTATCCATGACGATCACAGAGTTGGGCTCAACTCGTTGAAGCACCCCTTGAAACCAGCTCTCGAAGCAGCTGGCATTCATTTCGTCATGGTAATCACCTCCTTTCTTAGAGACGAAAATCAAGTCACACTCTTCTAAAAAGCCACTATCGCTACCAATATGAGTTACGATCAATCTTTGACCTTTCCACGAAGACCTGTTGACAAACCTTCAATGCTTGCTTGTCGGTTACTCACTACGGTTTTGTCTATCCAGGTTTTTTAACTGTGTGACCTGCATTTACCCATGTCTCGTCCAAATAATAGATTTTTCTGCTTTGTCGCCTATATTCAATCATTTCGCGTAGGTATTTTCGACGCCAGGCGACTATTTCAGGTGTCTCTATCAATACTGACTTCCGATTACGCGTTTCGTAACGAAAATTAATTTCGTGCAGGGATTTCCTCATTACCTCGACGCTCATTTGGGGTATAATTTCATTTTCCTTGATCGCTGCATGTACAGCCTTGACGGTTGGTATCTCATTCCTAAAGAAGAAGAATGTACGGTTCGCCTTAACGCCATTTTGCTATCGTCATCCAATTTAACGGCCTTTCATCCCTTCAAATTAAACTTTGGATCAGTAGTAGCTCCAGTTTTCTTCTTTTCATGCACCACCCTGCGAATGGTCCACTCTGGAACGCCTGTCATACTTTCACAACGAGCGAGTGCATCTCCCTGCGACATAGTTCTGTTCAGATAATTGAACACGTTGAGCACGATTTCTTTCGCGTCCCTCTTCAGCGCTTTACAAAGCCGTCTACTTGTTCCCTGGCTTTCAGTACTTCCACTCGTGCCATTTGTACTCTCCATGGCTAAGTATAACCAAAACAGTAACCACAGTAACCACAACAATGTCAATCACACAACAATTCTTATAAAAACACACAATATGCGATCGCTCAACGAAACACGTTCCAATGCGTTGCCGACGCCTATGAGTCTGCCGGTCGAGGCGCGTCTTTGATTTCATTGGTTCTACCGGCGGAGAACAATCAGCCATTATTTCCATCTCTGTCTGTGCTGTTGACCACCGCAAAGCCATAGAAACGACATATGTCGTACGCTAAACGGCTGTACTGGAAGGAAGCCGGGATCGAGCTCTGATCACATTTTGATCACGCGTATGAGTCATTACAGTTTTAAATAGTTGTAGTATAATAGCATATACAACAAAGTCTTAAGATAACCTACAAAATCAAACCTAACGCAAATTTAATCCGCTTGTTTATCTCAACAATGAAAGGTGAGAAGGCGTCTATAAAATTGGTAGCAAGTTTACTGAGAGTTCAAATGATTTGTATGCCTGGAATACCGTCCAATGCTTGTATTTATTAACTGACCTTGTGTAGATGTATAATGGATTTGTACTTATTGTTTTTTATTTACATATAGTGGAATACATACTACTGACGTAATGTGTATGAGAGAGAAGCGTTAGAAAGAGACAGATGCGGCGTGCCATGTTCCCATCGGCGTACTCTTCTCTCTCGTACTCGACGTCAGATATTTGCTTTTCAATGCATGGATGTCACTGTATATCATTTGAAGTTGAATAAAATATTGGTAATAGTGGTTACGCTTTATTTTCCGAGTTCCTTACTTACAATACTTCATCAAAATCATTTTTCCAAGTTTGTCTGGAAAGTTATTGTTTTTCTGTTGTTGTGGGATAAAAAAGCGCTGCAAGTCTCTGCAAATTGCGAAAATTCACATTATTTTCAACGATACATGCGTCTCATACAGGATGGTCAAACATATTTATTTATCTAATATCTTGGAAAAGGAGTGGATTTGCTTTCATTTGAGTAAGTTACGTTTGTGTTTGCGTGTTATCGTAAACCATCTTGTGCATGAGCGCTCATATAGCATAATCCAGGGGCGCATGTTTGGTTTACTGGTTCTTCAGGATAACTATTCAAAATTTTAGCAGAAATAATATCTTCTATTTGTTCATGTTTTGAAGAGCAAAAGAAAAACTCACACGCCACTTCATGCCCCAAGGATTGGGTATCTTATTAATATTTCACTTTAAAGCAGAAGCCAGCCCCAATGGGTGCCCATGATCGAGTGTTTGTACATTCCAGAAAATTGTTTTCGCTGTTCAATTTGAGGCAAAATTGTAAGGGCAAATTCAAAATTGACACGCAGAAGTGGCAAAAAAAGTTCTTTTGTGTCCAAACTTAGTGTTGGGTTGCCTTTAGAAAATGGTAAGTAGCTTTATCAACGACTCGGTGGAACTTTCAGCAAGTACTCGACATTGTTATATTTGAGAGAGATGTTGAGAGCACAAGAATGTTCTTACAAAGTCTATATGAAATCGTGATAACTTCTAGTACAATTGTAATGGTTTGTCCAACTCTACAATCAAAGCTTGACATTTATAACAGACTTCGATTCTTCGTGTCCTGTGAGCGTTTTTAGTTTCAAATCAGTGTTCTGTTCTGTGACTTCAAAACTGTACCGAACATTTATGTAAATTTGTTACAAATAGAAGTATTGTAAATTTTGTAATCAGTTCATCGTCTTTCTATCTTTAATAAGGTATTGTATTAATGCTATACTAGAGTAAAAACTTGTAAAGCAGAATTTTAATACTTGAATCAGGATTGTTAACAAACCTACCTCTTGTATAAACGATCATGGATGCTGGAGACATCATGAATCATGAAGATAGAAGTTGGGAGTTGGATTCTAGGTAGTAGAGGCAGACACCAAGCTATTTGAACTTGATAACGCCTCGTGGAAATTGAATTTTAAATGTGATAATGAAAACGCAAAAAATTCTGTTTTGGATAGGTAAGGAATTCAAATACATTTTCTGGATATTTTTTATATTTAACTGGCGCTTGCTTTCAAGCAATACTTATGGATGTTCCAGACTTCCAGTTCCAGAAATTATAAATCACATAAACATCAAACTTGAGACTAATGGTGATGTAGATGAACTAGCTTCTAGCTCCATGTTATTATTTGTTTTAGAATAATAGATAAAGGCTGCTGCATAATTGTACGTAAACAGAAACTCAGTTGCATATTCAGTAAATCAAGATTAGACTTTTCCATTCTGTTGTCTTCTCAGAATGCAATTATGTGACTTTATTTTTTCAAATTTGGCCTGCCTTCTATTCTCATCTTGTGCAATAAAATACAATACATTGCAAAAAAAAGGATGCAATAAGAAACTGATCCTCAAAATCCATTTTTTATTTTATCTGATAAATAGTAAGTAGGAAAAATAGGTTCTGCTTACGAGGAATTGTTACAAAATTCCACAGAATGGTGCTCACAGTGGTCAATCACTCCTGTTAATTTTGTATCTGTTGAAACCTGTCATTTTGTGTACTTTCTAGTTTCTACTCCTTGGCATTTTTGCAGCACCCATCAGGTCATTTGAAAAAAGTTTGAAGCAATATAATTTAATCTTCTAAGAGAATTACTGTGGTTCTATTTGGAACCATGGCTATTATGATGGAAATTGTATGTGTACATTCAGATACAGCATAGGATCAGATAGCTTCTTGGGGAATATACCAGTCAATGCTATACATGTTCTTTAATCAGTTGGAAATGTTTCAGGATAAAAAGTGAGGCAGATGAAGAATTGAAAGTTGAAAGTTGTCTTCATGACAGCTAGAAATCTCCAGCTATGGAAATTAGAGAGGAATTTATCATCAAAGATGAGTGTAATAATGGCGATACATTCTTAGATACAAATGCAGAAACAGTTCTGGATAGGTAACTGTTTTTTGTCAGTTTTTTTTACTTCCCACAACTGGTGAGGAAGTAATTTTATTGCATAAAATGTCAAAAATCGTGTTACTTATTTTCATTTTACTAATCCTGGGCCCTGTTATAACTTAAAACGTACCTGTTGGATTATGATGAAATTTTGAGACAAGGTTTTTCACTATAAATCTGTTTTTGTGATATCATGATAGCTGAAAATCTGGGGTTTCTGAGGATGATTATATTGTATTTCTTCTATTTTAGAAGCAGTAGTCAATATAGTGGGGATAATGGCAAAAATGTTACCCCTCCTGAAGTTGAGGGCAACATAAGGGAGCTGATAATCATAATTGAGAGGATGGATCCAGAAATTCTCAAAAATATGAAATATTCTTCGACAAATACACACACCTCACATTCATGAAAAAGAAAAAAAGGATCTTCCGTCAAAAAGGTAATTGTGGCTAAATTTATATTTAGTCAAGTAATATTTACGTTTGTCTTTCAACATGAAATCTCCTTTGGAAGGACACCAATGGGACCAACTGAACTGAATAGCATAGTTATGTTCTTCAATCTCAAAACATTTTATTTTGTGTTTATCTTTTTTAGTATTCTATTTTTGTATATATCGTTTGAAGGTAAATAAAATATTGTTCATAGTGGTTTCACTTTATTTCCCTACAGTTTCGCAATACTTCGTTTGATAGTCCAATACTAAAATCATATTTAGAAGTTTGTCCAGAGTTGTTTTTCTATTTTTGGGGTATAAAGCACCGCATATCTGAAAATTCTTAATCACATTCTTTAAGGTTAATATATATTAACAACTCGTTACGTATCGAACATCGAAAGTTCAAGTTGGTAGAGATTGTCATATATCATAAAAAGTGGCTTTGCAATAGACGTAATGCGGGTCCCACACGATGCTTCCAACATTCGACACTCCAGAATTGGCAATTCTGTCTCCTACACGATGGGACGAAGTTTTTAGTCTCGGACGTTCGACGCATGGTTGTGCCAACGTCTATTGTCAGTGTCGCGCTTCAACCTTCACAACTGAAAGAAAAATATACAAAATGAACAATGAAACAATTCTTTCGAGCGCCGAAAAATAATTTCAGTTCTGTTTTCAGCGAAAAAGAAGCCTCAGAAAGGTCGAAAAATAAAGTTTGACTGTTTTTTGTTTGTTCTCCGACGATAACTACGCCGCCATTGTACCGATTTTCAAAAACTGCAGAGGTTGTACGCCAAACAACCGGTCGCTCAGACGGAAATTAAAGGAAGTAAAATTGGATAATTGGTTGCACCGGTGGCTCAACCAGTGAATTAAAAAATACGCCTAATGTGTCATGATTGTTAGGTTATGTATTTTCATCGTTTTTATTAAATTTGTGGTCTTTGTATTGCATTAAACTCGCATTAAACCGATACCAGACAATGGAGGATGGTAAAAAAACTGATGTTATGTCCCAGTCACAACGTACATTTGAGATGTTCCTGACTAATAAGGATCACAAGAGAGCGTACGAAAGCAGGTTCATAGCCATGTAGTTGGCTTCATCTATAACTAGTTACTTTGAAAAAAATTTTGAATATCTACACAAATGCAGACCTCTAATGCTGGAACCGCACGCTTGCCATTTGCTGCAAAATCCAAACCCCTACAAACGATTGCCTTTTTTTTTGAAGAAGCAAACGTCGCCGTCCACACGTTTGCGGGTGCGTCGCTGAAAAGGCAACAGGCAAACATGACGGACGTCGAACTTGTGTCTGCCGTAGCATTTGGCTTAAGCTATTTTTATTATAAAACAAAAAAAAGTCAGATAAAACGAAAAGTACGACCAAGAAGGTGGTGGATGTTAAATATGAATCGTACCAGGTAAATGGTATTTGTTTTAATGAAATTGATATTTAGTTTCAAAAATAGTACCTATCACAAACGTATGGATGTGTCACAAACGCTTGTGGCAAACTCCTTTTGATTTGCGACCAAAAAACCGACACCCGATCGGATCGGCTACAAGCGCTTGCAAACCCACGCAAACCAAGCCAAACGCTCTATCCGCATGTTTGCGTTTGTGACGATTTGCGGCAATTTGGCAAACGTGCGGTTCCGGCATAACGTGTTGCGCCGTCATTATGGCGACTCTTCGCATGCCACTTAACGTGCTGCGGTATTTTCTAGGCACGTTATTTTGACAGATACGCATGCTCAGTTGTGGGTTTCATGATAGCGGGTACTATTACGTTACCGCCTAGTGTAATTTGAGAACACTTAGCGCGAGACGGTATATGATCGTTTCGTGGATACCCGGAATAAATCGGGCGATGATCGTTATGATTTGAGGTTAGGTGCCGTTAATGGGTGATTTTTCTTAATTTGGAAAGAATCGGTTGGCCTGTGCTTCTCATTTTTATTCATAAAGTTTGTATTATGTGTCCTGCGAAAGAAGTCAAGCGAATGGGGAACTTGTCTGTCGAGAATGCTGTGCAAAATCCCAGTCTCCAACTCCTCGTTGTTCACTGCCCGTATAGCGGTAAATCAAGAAGTTCTTGTACATCCATTTCGTCAAACACACCTCTACGAGCCGTTTTACACACAAGAGAATTACTCCGAAAATTATGGTCATAATTATGCCGAAAATTTGCATCTAAATTTTCTCTACAACCTGTATGACACAAGCAAACAAAATTTCGGAGTAATTCATATGATACGCCTGCGCATTAGAGTAATATTTTCGAATGGACATAACCTTAACGGGTATTACGTCCAATATAATCGGAAAGACAACAGACGTCGTTGATTTAAATTTATTTTTGAAATCGAGATCTTGGTTAATATTATAAAACTTCTCAATGCTTGGACTATCGCATGCAACGCCTGACGCGGCAAATTTCTGTTTTTGTAATTGGGTGACTTCACCTTGTACAGGTTTGGCCATTTTTGGTACTCCTCCAACAACAGTGTAACTTCTTCCCGATTCCACGACATTATGCAATTACGAATGTATGAATAAACAATAACAATAAACGCTTCTTCGTACGACTCGAACAAGACCACACCCACAAATGTTAAGTGAGGTTATGTTGTTGATGTTGACATTTGATATTGACATGCACGGAAATAACCCTCTGCGCCAATTCTCGCGCATATTCTATAGAACGGGTTTTATATTTTTACCATGAAAATTTTCACAAGAATTCTTTTACGTGTAATACGACAGCCAAAATTTTATTGTAAAAGCATCATCAGGCTTCAATTGGACAGTCTGAAAATAAAGGCAAAATGTGTTTACATTTCTATTGTTTGGCAATTCAAAAGCGCTGGAAAACAAGATGTATTAACTGTAACTATAAAAATCAGCTCGTTACGTATCGATAGTTGGAAGTCCAGGTTATGTAGTACGTCGTCAGTTTGATTTATTACATTTTTTGTTCCGTGTCACACGTGAGAGATGAATATAGGTTATGTGTTACTCGTTTGAATTGAAAAGGAGAAAATAAAAGGCAGTGAATATCCCCATAAAAAGTGCATTTGTTATATTTGTCCAATATTTAGAAATCAAAAATGCAGCACGACGAAGTGAGTAAACAAGTTAAATTTTCTTAAAAATCCTCTCAAACATTCTTTTTGTAGGTGGTCTGGAGTATTATCAACAAATCATTCTGCTCCTACAAGACAAAGTACGTAACGAAATAACAATGAAGCTGTTTAGCTAATTACTAATCATTTTTCAGTACAAAGACGCAAAAGTTCTGTAGGAATGAATACAATCTAACTGGTCTTTGCAACAGAAGCTCCTGTCCTTTAGCAAATAGTCGGTATGCTACAGTTCGCGAAGAAAATGGGATTATTTATTTGTATATGAAAACTGCTGAAAGGTAAATGCACTGAACTATGAATTCACATATTTTAGACAATCACTTGTCTCTTATCATGTAACAATAATGTTTTTAGGTCTGCTTTCCCGAAGAAGTCATGGGAGAAAGTTAAACTGTCAAGAAACTTTGAGAAAGCCATTCATCAAATTAATGAAAACTTATTATATTGGCCTGGTTTCATAAGATCAAAATGCAAGCAACGTTTTTTGAAAATTACACAATATCTCATAAGAATGAGAAAACTAAAACTTAGAAGACAGTAAGTTGAACTCTTGTTAATGTTTATATTTTTTACTTACCTTTACAAAATTGTGCAGATTCAATCTTTTCATGTTATTAACAAAAAATTGTAGTAAGTAAGACAGAAGTTTCAGAACTTAATTTTTCAATTATGCTTCCAGGAAATTGTTAGTTCCCATACAAAGTAAAGTTGAAAGGAGGGAGAGAAGAAGGGAAGAGAAAGCTTTGGTTGCTGCCAAAATTGAGAGGGGTGTTGAAAAAACTCTATTGGACAGGCTTAAGAAGGGAGTGGTAAGCATATTCGACTTCAATGTCTGCTCTAGCTAGTTTCTATGATCATACAAAAGCATTTGATTGTGTCCCAGTGGCGGCTCGTGGCAAAATAAAACAGGTGTTCTGCAAATCCGTACTTATCTATTTTTTATATGTCAGTTCGATCCTGTGCTCCTTCTTGGCAGCAAATTTGACAAATACCGTCCCGTTGAAATTTTAAATGGTCAAAATTAATTCCTTTTCAATAGACAGCATCGACAACGCTGTAAGGCTATCCTGGGTGATAGTATTTCGAAGAAAGGTCTTGATTCTTTTCAATGTTGAGAAATTTCGCTCAGCCTCAGGAGTTGTTACAATAATTTCTAATACCTTTTTTGTTTCTTTTAGTGTTTCCTCCAAACTATTGTGTATCAAACATATCAGAAGATACAGAGTTCCATGTAAATCTCGGCAATTATTCCGTGCATAAATAACAGACAACTCTGTCTTTAAACGACTTTTTTCTAGACAAATTTCAAGAATACAATCCAGTAGATCATTTTGTATTTCTTTTGAAGTTCCTTTAAATATTGAAGCATTTTTTATGTGTTCGCTTAAGGTTGTATCAAGCTCAGCAGAAAAATTATTCAGTCCACGAAATATTCCCGGGTTTTGGGAGCTCTCGGTTTCGTCGTCGCCAATTCAAATGCTCCGCAAAATTTTATACCGAGCACCGACCGACCAGTCAGATATCGTACTTAAATCGCGCATTTGATTTTGATGAGAGCGCGTGTGGCTTGTGTCGAAGTAGTGCACAGACCCTTTTCAAGTGGCCCATGAATAATGTTATGCTGAGGTCGCGACGAAAATGACAAGTACACAATTGGTCGATTATAATGCTTTCTTAATACAAAACAGACTTGATGCTGTGTCTTGCGGGGGCAGCGATGCCTTTATTGTTTCTATTTGTGTGATAACATGGAAAATAAATTACTACTGCTTTTTTCTGTTAAGACAAAAGTTTTGGCAGTTCTGCAGAACTTAAGGGCCAGCCGCCCCTGAGCAAAACAAGTATCAATAATGTGCTTGTATCGCTCGGAATTGGTGCACCAAACAGTCACGTTTGGACTATGTAGCTATTGTGTCTCTTTTGGGTTCGTTGGTGCCCAATATCTGCAATGTTTCTTGTTCACATAACCGTCTAAGTGAAAATGGGGCTCGTCACTGAAAACAACCTTCTCCCATTTTTTGCTTCATTATGCCAGTTTTGACCTAGGGATTCCCAAGGTAGCGGAATGCTTCCGTACAGAACGCCGAGGATTTGCAACGACCGAATCACTTACTCGACGTATATTTTCTTCGCTTGATACAGTAGGTGTGGGGCCAGAAATTGGTTGACTAAGAGTAGAGCCTGTATTACTGAACCTCTTAATCCACTTTTTCAATAGGTCCTTACTTGGGGCATCTCTTGGTCGACGAATGTTGTATCGTATACAAAATGAATCACCACTCTTAAAGTAAGCCTCGATAGCAAAAGCACGTTGCGCTCCGGTCCAACGTTCCATTGTGACTATTTAACCCGCACGCAGCGTTGCCAGATTCTTCGCAGGGAATTACCGTACAAACACGTAAAAATTATCGTACATTATTCTACACTGTGCCTTAGGTTCTCTCAGGATTCATGATGAAGGAAAATTTCCGTCTCTGGGGGAGGGGGGTTCTTTTGTTTCCCACTCTTGCCTATAAGCTTGCCGTCTATGTTTGGCTTTCTTCAAAGATTCCGCTTCTTTTTTTTTTGTTTTCTGTATTCGAGAGTATCGCATCTTTTGTTGTGCTTCTCTCTTCCAGAGCAACTTGATTCGGAATCCGACATATCGTTATTGAATTGAAACCGGTTGAATATCGAAAATAACTGAAAACGATCTTTTGATTTTCAAGTTTCAAAAGTCATAAAAACGGGAAACGTTGCATTCATTTCATCTAATGCACATGGGTAAATGAAAATATGCCCGTCATGTCAATACATAGAACGTGAGAACTGATTGACGGCAATTTTTCCCGTTAATGTTTGACGAGATAGTCCGCGTAATGCTAGGCAACCCATTATACAGAGTGGGGTACGCGCGCTTGTCTACCAGCGGCAACACTGACAGCTGCTTGCTGTTGTTAATTGAACGTAGTTGTTAGATTGATTCAACATCTACGAGTAAAATTATGGTACATTCAGCTATTATCCTACACATAGTATCGTACATCGTACAGTACTTGAAATTATCGTACAGAAACGATAATTATCGTACGTCTGGCAACGCTGCTCGCACGCCGAACGCGTCGATCAAGACCTCCCCCCACTTCCTCGCGTACACGGTCGCCGCGTAATTCAAATTTGAAATGTAATTTTTACCACTGGACCATATCTGTGCGACCCTAATTTAAACAAACTTAAATTGGCAGATCACGCCTTAACGAACTTGTTCTTTTTTTTCCAGTATCAAGATTTGTACAACATCAACGAGAAAGCTTTCAATGATGCCTTGGATGAGAATGAAGTTGAATCTGAAGAAGAAGAAAATGAAGCAGAATACGAAATGGAAACGGAAGGTGATGATGGTCCACAATTTGTAGCTGCAAACTCGGACGACGAAAGCGATGATGTAAAGTTCCTTTATTGATTTTTTATTTGCCAAAACAAAAAAGTGTCCTCCACATTATTTTCTCTTTCGGCTAGGTTTTTCAACATTGAAATGTTTTATCTGAGTTGTTAGTTTCTCAATAGAAGTTGTTCTTTTAGAAGCATACACCAAAGTTGAAAATATTGATAACAAATCCTTGGATAATTGAGATTGTGCAGTATGTTCTTTTCTTCTTCTAATTTTACGTTTTCTTTTTGCAGGACAGTGTAAGTGGACAACCTGAAGGTGTATACCTGGATAGCAGTTTTGAGTCTGATAACTCGGATATTGAGGTACATATTTGGAATGTTTATACACATGTCTATCGGTTTTTTTTAAACTATGTATAAATAATTCCCCTAGAATCAGTAAAATAGACTCTATTTTCATGCTAGAGAGAATTGTTTAGTGATGATGTACTCGAAAAAGGTTGCTGAAACGTTTTTAATTTTTTTAGGATACAGCCATACCAAGCACATCTAAAAAGGGCAAGAAGACTCCAAGCAAGAAAACTCCCAAAAAGGACAGAAAATCGAGGCCAACAGTCGAAATTGAGTATGAAATGGAAACGGAAAGTCCGTCGCTTAAAAATTCCAGAAGGTTGTCATATGTATAGTTGGAATGAAAATAAACAAATATTTTTATGAAACTTTTAATTTCGTATGATTTCTGTAATATAAACACACACTGACACACCCAACACGTTTTATAAAAACCACTACAATATAAATATTACATAGATAATTTGGCATAAGTGTGACTTGTTTTAAAAAAAAACTATATACAAATATCGAGACCATACACGAAAATTAGATATAAAATATATAGATGGCTAAAAAATTAAGTGCAAAACATTATGCGATAAACAACAAAAAAATCAATATAAAGCATGAGCAGTGCGTTACGTTTGATAATTTGATGAATTTTGTTCCGTTGCCAAAAGTAACATTGAGAAATACACGAGTCATTCTTCAGGTTATTAGCATCCAAAAAAGTGTACAAAATCGATCACTAAACATTTCTCATGTATCAACCTGAAAGCTCAATGTATTACAATTTCAAGTTTATACTTAAGACCGCACGTCCCTTTTTTCGCTTTTTTTTCAACTACCTGTTTGCAACAGTATTCTAAATCCTTATCTGATTACTTCATGATATGTATAGAGATGACTAAAAAAACATCGTTTTTAATTTTGTTTTGACATAAAATGCTTTTATTGAGGATTTTTTCTTCGATCGTAACTTGTTAACAAATATTAGTACAGCTCTGAAATTGTTTGTGAACATTCCACTTTTATGGATGAATGAAACAAGTTATTACTTTTATTCGTATCACTTTTTCGCTTCAAAAAAATCTTGGCTTTTCTTGAAAACTCAACTTGCTGCGAGACGAGGCTTCAAGAAAATCAAAGATTTTTCGAACAGGAAAAGTGATAAGAACAAAAGTAATCACTTGTTTAATTCTCCCATAAAAGAGGAATATTCACACACAATTTCAGAGCTGTACTTATATTTGTTAACAAGTTCAGATTGAAGAAAAACTTCACAAGAAATGCTTTATTTGATACAAAAATTGAAAACGTTTTTTAGTCATCTCTATACACACCGTGAAATTAGCAGATGAAAAGGATTTAGAATAACTGCTGCAAACCCTGCCACCTTAAAAGTATTAAGTGATGAATTTTGTACAAAAAATACTATGTTTACAAACATTTTCATGCAGACCATTGTCTGACACTCGTACAAGAGAGATTTTGAGATCATAGTATATTGGTATTTTTGGTATATAATTCTGATCCAAAGAAAAACTCGCGTATAAGGAGTAAAAGAAAATATGTATATAAATAAATATTATAATAGTAAAACAATGAGAAAAGTATAACCTAGTGCTAGTACTTCCTTCTAAAAACTATTCAACAAAAAATTATGAACCTAGAGCTAAAACAGTAACAGACAAGTTATGGTATTTAACAAACAAAATGGTTCTTAGCAAGGGTTCTAAAATTGGCATGTTAAATACCATATTTCTAATTTGATAAACAATTAGACCAACAATGACCCCCCCCCTTTCAACAAATATGCGTGATGGTAGGCAACAAATTAGAAAAATGAAATTTAACAGATTATAGAAACAGTTTTTTTCTCTGATCAGTGTTTTTGTGTTTTTGAGGACATTTTGAACCAGAAAGGTTCTTTAGACTTTGCTCTCTGTAGTTGACAGTTTTATATAAGTGGTACAATATTTGAAAAATTGCAAAATATGCCATTGAAAAATAACATGAAAAAACAAAAATTCCTGAATATCCTTCAAATTTTCACCAACAAAATCCTCGGCAAATAATTATAAAATGCTTACAGAAACTTTTGGGTATCTTTAGGATCTCTAGAGAAAGAATCTTCAGATAATCTAGAGATACTGTAGAGGATTTTTGAGGGATTTAGAGAGAATATTTAAAAAATCTTTTGAGTATCTTTAGAGTCTTGAATCTAAAGTAAAACTTCAAAGGGTCTTTAGAAGATCTTTGGAGAACCTTTGTAAGATTTTTAAAGGCTCTTGAGAGAAACTAGATAATCTTTAGAGAAACCTTACAGAATCTTCAAATGATCTTTGGAGAATCTTTAGCTGGTCTTTAGAGAAACTTTAGAAATATTCTGGAGGATCTTTAGAGAATCTTCAGAGGAAAATGTTGCACTTTTTCAAATATGCATTGTCTTGCTTATATCTCTGAAAATATCAACTTCACAGAAAATTCATAAAGCACCTTTTTTGTTCAGAATGTCCCAAAATCACTGACTGGACCGAACAAATTTTTTTTGGAAAATGAAAATAATAGTTTAAAAACATTTTGACGCAATTTTGGACCTGGTAACATGAAGATTCGTTTTTAAATAAAGATTATCTCACGATCCTCTAAAGTTTTTTCCTGAAAATTCTGTAAAGTTTATCTGAAGATTCTCTAAACACTGTCATTAAAAATTCTCCAGACATTCTTCCAACATTCCGTAAAGATGCTCCAAAAATACTCTAAAAATCTGTTAAAGATCCCTAAGGATGTTTTAAAGATTCCCTAAAGTTTCTCCGAAGATTGGTGTTGTTTTTCTAAATATGCATTTTCTGGGAATGATATAAGTTTATGAATGTTTGAAAGATATTTAGGAAGATTGTTTTTACATATTGTTTTTCAGATTTTTCAAATATTGCATTAATGTGCTGAAGCACCTTTTGATTCAGAATACCCCAGAAAACCTAAAAACTCTGATGAAATAACTTTTAGAATTTTTTAATCTGTTGTCGTAAATTTGGGTCTGCCCGCATGCAGATCTGTTGAAAGGAGTCGTTTTAATAAGATTACTGACAAAAATCCGACTCGGAATATCTTTTTCCATGCAAAGACACCACCTGGTGCGGAATATTTTTTTCCATGCAAAGACACCACCTGGTTGTATCTCAAAAAGACTGATTTAAGGAAAGGGGGAGATTTTTTGAAGTCTGCTAAAGTTAGAGAAAAACGAATAAAATGGGCATATATTTGTAGTATCAAATCGCAGAAATTCATGGATTTATTTGGCGTTTTACACTTTTGGAATTTTGCCAAGAAATCCATGGATATAGTGTCAGTGTAAAACGGGTATTAGAGCAAATAACATTAGTGGCAATTGGCTCTAGTTTTCGAGATATCCCAATCTAAAAGTGCAAAAATGGGGACTTTGTGGACCTCACTTTTCCTTAAAAACAATCGTTTTTGAGCGACACGAAACAACAACCAACTACTTTTTACAAACTGATCTTCGTCTCAACACCTTCCCCGCTACTGCTAACCACAGTATTTTTGACATTCATTTCGAGATTTTTCTTGGGTCTTCTCTCCCGCCTACCTTCGTTGCTGATGTTCGTGCTTTGCGTTGTATTTCCCCCGATGCTGGACGATCTGATAAAACATATAAAAACGCATATTTTTTTTACAAAACACCTAAGTACTGATCGTCTTTCTCAGCACATAATCTATAAGGGAGAAAAGAAAAGAAAACGATGAGATTTGACGGACGAATAATAATCGTGAACCTATTGTAGCGCAAGCTTTTTGAACAAAATTAAAGTGCGACATAAATAAAAATTTTCTTTTTGGAAAAAATAAATTACGAAATGCGCTTTAACAATGATTAACGTATGTACAGTAGCGGACGAAAGTTTGGAAACAAATATTAACATTATTATGAACTATAGACTGTAAGCAACGTATATGAGAAAAAAAATAGTCCTTAATAATAAAGAATAAAAAATCAGAGCACTTTTCAAGAATTACTAAGAATCTTTCCGAACTTTTGCCCGCTACTGTATTTTAGTCATTTTTTTTAATTTTAATGTAGCGAGTCGAAATATAATCGGTTTTCTTCGTATTCTTGATATTTACTAATAATTTTCGAAACCGTCCCTTTGTTCATTTTTAATCTTTGCGAAACGTCAACATTTCAAACCTTTGTCCGCTACTGTATAAACTGAAAAAAAAAATGATTGGACCTACCTTGATGTAAGGCTACTTTGGCTATCATTCAACCTACTAGAACTAGGTTTGTGTCTATCTCTCTCCCAAGTAAAGGAAGCCGGTTGGTTGTCCACGGTAGGACACAAAGTCTGTGAATCGGATATGTGACTGGACTTAGATCCTTGATTCTGTTTCAGAGGCGTGGGCACCGTTTTGAAATAGGCACCTAGAGCAAGTTCAATGTGATTCGCAAGTCGCGACCGAAAACGAAACATCATGCACAGGACCGCATTTTAGGAAAAAAACACAAGAGTAATTATTTGTAGCAAATTGCGCGTCTCCAAAAAAAACAGTGGCGTACGATTTTTATTTGGAAAAATAATGCCACTAATCCCCTGTATCTCCACCACTGGTGCACAATAATTTTAAGTAAAGACAATGCAGACAATTTTTAGATAAATCCACATACCAAATTTCAGTTCCTCCCTGTTGACGATTTTGAAAATATTAAAAAAATTGTTTTTTATTTTTAAACTTTTTTTAAAATGCGATCCAGTGTATGATGTTTCACTTTTGGTCACGACTTGTGAACTCAAAGAGTATACGAGGTAAATGCTGTCACAAAAAATTAATCACAAATTCAGCAGGTGAAAATATGTTTTGATATTTCACACACAATCCTTTACCGGCACACTCTATCTATACAGGGTGTCCCAATATAATGTGGACATAGAAGTACCACGTATTTTTAGACTCAAAGTTAAGTAGACTGGACATGATTTACTTCTATGCAAAAGTGTTTAGTTTTCGTTTTGAAACACATTTTTTCAGATACTTTAGGAAAAGATAGTTCGAGTTAATGAAATTTGGACTACATGGGTTTAGCTAGTTGTCCTAATATTTGACTTTTACAAAAATCTCGAAGGGTTCGAGAACGGTGAAAACCACCCCCACACCTACATGAATTATAGCAGTTTTTTTTTCCAATGACTTTCATATAAAATATCCTTTTGTTTACTTCATTTTTTGTCTCTTATAAAAACAGATCATCGCGCAGTGTTCGAGAAAAAATGTGTTTAAAAATATTTCTTATTTCATAGTTCAAACTTAGTAGTCATCTAGTTGGAATATCATGTCAGTGTCAGATTATTTTTGACAACAAGCTTCATAAAGGCTAAATTAATAAATACTTCATAAATTATAAATTAATTAACGTTTGAGATTATTTTTGGTCGAGTTGTTTTTGCTTGCTTTTCTCGTGAATATATTTCAGATGTATGTAGCGTAACTGCTACAATTACATTCTTTTAAAAAACTACAACAATTACATTTAGAAAAACAAAATTTGCATCTCTAAGAATGTTCACTGTCCGTTTGTTGCTTGTACTTCATAAATTATCAATTAATTAACGTTTGAGATTATTTTTGGTCGAGTTGTTTTTGCTTGTTTTTCTCGTGAATATTTGTATATTTCAGATGTATGTAGCATAACTGCTACAATTACATTCTTTTAAAAAACTACAACAATTACATTTAGAAAAACAAAATTTGCAAGACTTTTCACTGTTAGTGAAAGATTCCTTTAATTTTCTTTTAGATATCTTTACAAATTACAACTTTAGACGTCTCAAGTCAATGCGCCCCAAGCTCTTCATATTTTAACGTCCCGAGTCTTCCATTCAGGGAGGTCGCATCCCTATTCGTGTGTTCTTCCCAAAATATACCAGAATATAACATCCTGCAAATATGAGTCAAATAGTTATACAATTACCATTTGTACATCCGCTCTGTTTCCACACTTTAAGCCTATGTGCAATTTCGCTAAAATTCGGCCTTCTATTCGCTCCTTCCGCCCAACATTCCACCATCAACGCGTAACAGTAACTTGGACAGGCGTCTGGACAAGGAAGAAGTTTTCTTGACCGTATCATGTTTATAACTTCTTGATTGTTATACCCATAGTAAGGCTGGAAAAAAATACACAGGGTGCTTCAATTTTACCACTAGCATCTCAGAAATGGTAACAGACAGTTTGAACATTTATTGGGAATACAATAAATACATTCAAGAATTAATAAAAGTGGCGTTACTATCTGTCTGATCATTACGTCACTCCGTGTAAGAAAGAAATTGAAAATTGTAATACTGGGAACTAAAAGATCATCACAGGGTGTAGATTTTTTTGACTTTTGTTTAAGGCCTATAATTTGAAAAGCACACGACTTGGATTTTTTATTATGCCCGTTTTCAGCTTAACGTCGACGACCGATTTCGAAAATGTGTTGTTCAAAAATAAAAACCCGAAGTAAATGCTGCGACACCTTTTATCATAATACAACGAAGATATATGCAGTATACAGTCCCTTACTTAATCGAAAAAAATAGTACATTACATACCTAGGTTGAGAAGTAAGACATTATTGATGATGTATCAAAAATCCTTGAAAATACACTTTATTTACCTGTAGTCCGTAGCTGTATATTTCCCATAAAACTACACCGTATGACCAGACGTCACTCTCGGTTGTGAATTTTCCATATAAAATTGATTCAGGCGGCATCCACCTTACGGGCAATAGAGACTTCGATTGAACTCTGAAAAAATAAATAAAAAAATCCGATAGTATGAGAAAAAGAATATCTTATTTCATAATCAGACAAATATAAGCTAAACGCATTTTTACCTGTAGTAATCACAGCTGTACATGTCTCTGCTCAAACCGAAGTCGCTGATTTTTACAACTAAATCTTTGGAAACAAGGCAGTTTCTAGCCGCCAAATCTCTGTGCACATAATGGTTACCGGAGAGGTATTCCATCCCTACGAAAAACAGATTGTTTCAAGTTAACCTTAATCACCACACGTAAATATGTCGAAAACTGCGCATCCTACAAAAAAGTTTCAAACGAAACTTGAAGGGGTTCGAGGAAGCAAAACGAAGGTGACCTTGACCACGACTTTCAAAGTCATTCCAAGGTCAGATGAACATAGTCAAATAGAACAAACCGCCTTTTTTCATCGGTATTGAATCAGTAACGAATCTAACTACCGTCATAACCTTGACCATTTCAAGGTCAAATCAAGTCATCAAAAACAATTTGCTCTAGCAAAAATATTCGATAGTACAGTTCAAGGTCAACGCAAAATGTCCAAAGGCACTCTCTGATACAATCTAGAATCATAATTCCGAATGTCGCCTTAACCTCAAAGTCAAGGTCGTGTCAAGGTCGAATGTTATTTGAGGTCAAGGTCACATTTGGATCAAACTTGTTTGCTTTTTGCATTCCCAGTATAAAAATGAAAAGTTTGCTATGGAAATTTTCCCTCTAAGGACATGGTCAAGGTCACCAATTCTAGAGCAAACTATTTTCGATGTTTTGATTTGACCTTGGAATAGACCCGAAGGCCATGGTCAAGGTCACTGCTAGAGTGATTCTCGGATGTAAGATATCCTCATTCCAATGTGCAAAAGGTCGGGTTTATTTGAAAATATTTACTCGACCTTGAAATGACTTAAAGAACCGATTGTTTTATGTGATCAGAATTACTAAATGCTTATACAGGGTGCGCATCCCACAAACAAGTTTCAAACGAAACTTGTAGGGCTTCGAGGAGGCAAACGAACGTGACCTTGAACACGACCTTGGGATTGAATAGAGGTGGACATTTTTATGTTCGAATATGACTATTGCAATGACCTAGACTTAAAGGCCATTTTAAGGTCAAATCAACACCGCCCTATCAAAAATATTCGACAGCATAATTGTGAGGTTTGTGGGGATCACTCAAATCTGACCTTAACCAAGACCTTGACCTACAAGGTCAAGTAAAATTTTCCCAAGGAACTATCGTCATGACCTTGAACATAGCCTTTAAGGTCATATCAGGTCATCAAAAACAATTTGCTTTAGCAAAAATATTCGACAGCATAGTTCTGAGGTTTTTTGTGGGAATCACTTAAATGTAACCTGGACCTTGACCTTTCAAGGGAACTCTGATACAAAAGCGGAAAATCTTAATTCCGAATGTCACCTAAACATCAAAGTCAAGGCCGTGTCAAGGTCGAATGTTATTTGAGGTCAAGGTCACATTTGGACGTAAACTGTTTTGCTTTTTCTATTTCAAGTATGAAAATAAGAAATTTTGATTTGAAATGACTAAATGTTGTTGTCAAGGTCACATCACTTTGTCTCCTACAACTTTAATTTATTTTTTTTTATATTGCGCAGTTTTTGAAATATTTAGGTATGGAGATTAAATTGGGACACACTGTATAGATTCTTACCCTGAGCTATTTGTATGGCCATATCTAAAAACTGATCATGAGTCAGGCACTTTCCTTCTTCTGGCGAATTTGCTATTAAAAATTCGTGTAGATCCCCCTAAAATAAACATGTTGATGATATACACAGCTTATGAGATTTATTTTTCAGTCGATGAGAAATTATTGTTATCGGCGTCAATTTCTTACCTCGGACATGTATTCAAAAAGCATACACATAGGTTCTTGTTTCATCACAACCCCTAACAAACAGATAATATTGGGGTGTTTCAGTTCTGAGATGAGTTCTATCTCCCGTTGAAAATCGGCAAGAGTTTTCGCACTGGCATTTTCTTTCAGAGATTTTACAGCTACGAAGATTTTCCCAGTCTTTGTTTTCAGTTCTCCTTTATACACTTTCCCTGTGAATTAAATAGAAAATATTTTATCATTCTTCGAAAATCTTGTCGAACAGGCTGAAAGTAATCATAATAAAGACACACGTCTATTCTAGGAAATTAAATAAAAATCAAAAGTATAACCCAAACTCATAAAAATATATAGTGTTACATGTGCTTTTTTAAGAAAAAGTATATTTACAATAATTTGTTACTGTCTGTAAAAGTGACTGATTTACAAGCAATCTTTTTCAAAATTTTCAATTTTTCCAGAATTTTAAAACCTTCAACAATTATTTAACAAATTTCCGAATTTTCCAATTATTTTCCAAGTTTTCGACTCCATTTTTTCCAAATGGCAAAATTCATTTTGCTCTTAAAATCTCGCAATTTTTCTTTAAATTTTCAAATCTTCAAATTATTTTCCAAATTTCCGAATTTTCCAATCATTTTAGTTTTCAAAATTCAATTTCTTTGTAAATATCAAGTTATCCTCAAAATTTCCGAATTTGCCAATTATTTTTCAAATTTTCATATCCGACTTTTTTCCAAATATCAAAATTTTTTAAATTCAAATCAGATTTTTTCGGTATTTCAGACACCAACAAGAACTTTGGAATTACCAAAATAATCCTAATTTTCAAGATTTCCTTGTCAAGGTTTCCAAAATTTTCAAATTCTGCAATATATTCAATATTTTCGAAAGGATTGATTATCGTAATCTTACTTTGCAGATTTTGTTAAATCGGAAATAACGAATATCTTGCCATAAATTTTCAAACTCTCATTTTTATCCCAATTTTTATATTTTTCGAAAATTTAAAAATCTAAATTTTACAAAATTTCTGATTTTTTATTTTTTTTTCGGTTTTTCAGTAATTACCTTTCAAATAACTTTTTTTTAAATTTCAAAATTCAACTCTTTCAACATTCCCTAATCATCAAATTACTTTCCAAATTTCCGAATTTTCCATTATTTAAGTTTTCTGACTATTATTTTTTTTCAAAATTTCCAATTTATTTTAGAAATCCCCAAATCTTCCAAATTTCCGAATTTGCCAATTATTTTTCAAATTTTCAAATCCAATTTTTTTCCAAATGTCAAAATTAGTTTTTTAAATTCAAATTCGAATTTTTTTCGGTATTAGAGATACCAGCAAGAACTTTGGAATTACCAAAAAAACTAATTTTCAAAATTTTCTTGTCAAGGTTTCCAAAATTTTCAAATTCTGCAATCTATTCAATATTTTCGAAAGGTTTGATTATGGTAATCTTGCTTTGCAGATTTTGTTGAATCAAACTCTCATTTTCTCCCAATTTTCATGAAAATTTAAAAATCAAAATTTTACAAAATTTCTTTTTAATTTTTCAGAAATCAGAAAAATCTTCGTAATTAGTTTTCAAATATTTTTTTTTAAAATTTCAAAATTCAAATCTTTTTCAAAATTTCCAATTTTTTTCAAAATTTCCTAATCAACAAATTACTTTCCAAATTTTCGAATTTTCCAATTATTTTAGTTTTCTGAATATAATTTTTTTTTCAAAATTTACTATTTATTTTAGAAATCCGATATTTTTCCAAATTTCAAAATTGATTTTTTTAAATTCAAATTCGATTTTTATCCAAAAAGCTTCTGACGAAAATTACATACGAGTCAAGCTAATGAAAGCGTATTAAAAAAGTATGTGTGTGTCGATACGTAATTATGAATCACCTTGTACAGAGCCACATATTAACAGAGTGGGGAGCATCATGTTGTTTACCATCTTTGGAACTAACTTATACTTACCGAATGCCCCTTCTCCAAGCTCCTCCAAGAACCTGACTTCCTTGTAAGTATACTGAGGCACAGTTTGTATACTATTCTTGTTCGAGTTGTGATTTCTTTGTTGTGGCAGATGTGGTGGTAGCAGTGTATTCATCTCCATTGGTGAACTTGGCCCTGGATTGCCGTAGATATTTTTGTTGACTTGTGGTAGATCCTTCTGACAAACAGACAGGTTCAGGATATTGCGAGACGAATAAAAAATGCGCTCAAGTAGAATGACTCACGAAACGACACAAATAAAAAACAGCAGTACTTTCTGACAGATAGAAATGAGTTATGTGATTTTTCGTAATATACGATCCAAAAAACATAGATTTCCGACAACTTCAAAAATTCCAGATTTAATAAGAATATTACAGTATCCAAGGTACCTGAAACCTTCAAATATTCAATTTTCTCCAATTTTTTTATTTTTTCAAAATGCAAAGCTCTTCAGCATTACCAAATTTTACGAAATTTTAGAAATTGTTCAATTTTCTTTGGTATTTCAAAAACCAGCAAGATCTTCGAAAGTAATCCTAATTTTCAAAATTTCCGATTTCAATATTTTCAAACTCTCCGCAAAGTTGGGGTTTTTCTTTTCAGAAACAACTACTCTTGAAATAACAAAGGTAATGTGTAGTGAAACGAGGGCGACCAAGTAAAAAAAATAGAGGAAAAAGTACTCATTCTCCAGTTGACGAGAAGGGCTAAGTACGTCTCTGCCCGAAATCATACCGCTCCAACAGAAAATGAAATCAGCTGAAGCGCTACCGAGCAGACGCAGAAACCACATTGATTGTCTTACACTTAATGGCACATCTTCTAACAAGGAAGGCAAAATGTTGCGTGAAAAGTCTAGGTATTGCATCCCGTCCAATCGATTTGGGAGAATAAATGGTCCAATGAGCATACCGTTCACCATGCCAGCCCAAACATTCACCGAAAATCTCACATCAGTGTTGCGAAAATTATTCACCCCATTACGCGTGAACGTAGATTCGTCTGTCACCAATATGCACTTCAAAAAGTCCGGATTATTGTCATGTTGATGCAACAACCACTCACAAAACCGCACTCTTGCTGGAAAATCGTCAGGTTGAAGGGCTTGTACACGTTGGACGTGAAACGGATACAGCCCCTCTTCACGCAGCGTTTGCCACACTTTAGTTTTTGATACTTGCACTTCTCTAGCCACGTCTCTAGTGCTTGTTGTTTTTTGAAACGCAACCGATTATACGAGTTCGTTTACCTCTACACGCGTGACCGTAACCGTCGGTTGAAGGTTGCATACTAACCTGACACACTGACCCCGACCCAGTTCTGCCGTCGGGTTGAGACCTTGTAACAGTCGGGGATATCGCGGCGGGTCGCGGCTACAGGACGGTATTCAGATATTTTTGATGTTGCAGAGCCCTTTATCTCCGTTCCCTTAAGACATTGGTGTATATGGTACTAAGAAAAATTGCTTATGTTTTCAAGATCTACACGTCGTGTAAAGGAAAACCCCAACTTTGCGGACACCCTGTATATTCAATATATTCAGAATTCTAAACATTCTCGGTTATATTAAAGTAAAATAATGTTTTAGAAATTTTCAATATATGCAGTATTTTCGAGATTTAGAACTTTTACAATATGAAACCTTCAAACTTTTCTATATCATCGATAACTCCAAAACTTTCGAAATACATAAAACTTTCAATTAAATATTTTCAAAGGTTTTTAAATTATTAATTCTTTGCAAATTTCGTTAAATCCAAAATACCAAATAACTTGATTTCGATTTTCAAATTCTCAATCTTTTAATAATTTGCATATCGCTTGAAAATTCAATATTCTTCATCATTACCAAATTTCACAAATCAAAAATTTCAATATCATAATTCGATGATCGATTTTCAAGATATGTAAAATTTTCAACACAATATTTTCGAAATTTTCAAAGGTTTATCGGAACCTTGCTTTGCAAATTTTGTCAAATCTGAAATAACGAATTTCTTGATATATATTTTCAAATTCCCAATTTTCATATTTTTTGAAAATATTTAAATTTAAAAAAATTTACAAAATTTCCAAATTTTTTGATTTTCATTTTGTTTACAAAGATCTTCGGAATTACCAAAACAATTGTAATTTTCTAAAGTAAAATAATGTTTTCGAAATTATCTTCAAAAATCTCGAAAATTCCCATATCGATAATATCAAAACTTTCGAGACAAACAACAAATTTTCGAAAATTTTAAATCATTGCAAATTTCGTTAAATCGAAAATAATAAATATCTTCATTTACGATCTTTTTACAATTACAATACTTCCTCGCCGATTGGCGTGTGAAGTAAAACATACAATGATTAGATTTTGAATTACGCGCCATTTTGGTGTCAATGTTACGAATTTCTACTCACATTTTGAAGATTTCTCGTTTTACTTCTCCGTTTGAAATAGCAGTACGTCAATATCACCACCGACATCACAGTAACCGCTGTAATGACTCCAACAACGTACGTACCGAATACATACACTGAAAACAAAAGAGTTGCGTCACCCCAATGAAAATGCGATATGACAAAAATTTTATTTTATTATTTTTATATACTCACCACATTTGCTAATGCCACAGACCTCACGTTTATTCTGCTCAATGAAACAAAACGGCTCTGGTTCCATTCCCCCAGGGTTCCTGAGAATCAGAGTTAGGATCAACCATACGAGATTTTGAAAAACTACGGAAACATTAAGCTTCTTACAAAAGTTATCTCTTCACAACTAAATAATGCTTGAATTCTTAAAATTCTGTGAATTCTTTAAATTCTTTAAATAATTTAAATTCTTTGAATTCCTTGAATTCCTTAAATTCCTTAAATTCTTTAAATTCTTTAAATTCTTTAAATTCTTTAAATTCTTTAAATTCTTTAAATTCTTTAAATTCTTTAAGTCCTTTAAATTCTTAAAATTCTTAAAATTGTTTAAATTCTTTAGATTCTTTAAATTCTTCAAATTATTTAAATTCTTTGAATTCTTTGAATTAAATCCTTTAAATTCCTCGAATTCTATAAATTCTTTATATTCATTAAATAATTTATATTCATTAAATTCTTTAAATTTTTTAAATTCTTAAAATTCTTTAAATTCTTTAGATTCTTTAAATTCTTCAAATTATTTAAATTCTTTGAATTCTTTAAATTTTTTGAATTAAATCCTTTAAATTCCTCGAATTCTATAAATTCTTTATATTCATTAAATGCTTAAAATTCTTTAGATTCTTTAAATTCTTCAAATTATTTAAATTCTTTGAATTCTTTGAATTAAATCCTTTAAATTCCTCGAATTCTATAAATTCTTTATATTCATTAAATAATTTAAATTCATTAAATTCTTTAAATTCTTAAAATTCTTAAAATTCTTTAAATTCTTCAAATTATTTAAATTCGTTGAATTCTTTAAATTCGTTAAAGTCGTTAAATTCTCAAAGTTCCCGACAACAAAATTCACCAATGGAGGCAGATTTCTATCAAAATTTCCACAACCCGGCAAAGCACGCACTGAGTGTGAAATTGTTTCACTAACGCAGGTTGTGGCCGCTGAACTGCTACACGAGAGCGCCGGAAATAGCACCTTCAGCTCTCGTATTTACGGTCGACAGAAATTATAAAAAAATGGAGTTCAAAGAGATGGAGAGTAGAGTACGATTTTCTATCATAGCAAGATAAGTCTTTTGCGATAAAAATAAAATTTTTAAGAACTGCTATAAAATTATTATTCTAAATAAGAAGAACGTTGCAATAATTTACTTTATCAAGATATAGTTAATTTTTAGTGGACGATAAAAAAATTAACAATTTTCTTACCGACAATAGTTATGACCAGCTAGTTCTGGATAATCCGAAGGTTTGATTCGAAACTGATGTGACCACCTTATGCATGTGTTGCCGGAACCTGTCGTATCTTGATCTCCGCGATATAGTTTTCCGTTGTCCCAAAAACATTTTTCATCTAGATTGCACAGAGAAACGTTGACATGTTGAAAGTACAAAGTGATATATGACGAGTGTTCTTACCTTTGTTAACTGTCAAATCACCGACACCTAAAGATAGACAGTTTTTTGAGCTCGGGTCAGTTTCTAAAGGCAACTGCTCGCAAACTTCTAGTTCCATTATTTGACCTGAAAAAAAAAAAATTAAAAAAGCACACCACCCCAGATTAGTGATTTCATTATACAGGGTGTTTGAAACATAGACAGAGCTACTTTAGAGGGCGATTCCTTGTTAAAAAATATGAAAAAAATATATATTATTCTTTCCTAGATTTTTTTTGATTTTTTGTTTACCAAGGCACTTTTTAAAATAATTTTTTTTTGTAAAAAATGTGTGATTATTTTTCAATGTATTAGAATACATTTGGTTTCAAAATAGTACATACAAAAAAATTCTTACCTATAACTAAATGTCTCTTCGCGATACTATATTCCTTGCTGCAAAGCTCATTTTCGAGCAACAAGCACTCATCTCGGCATATCCTCCTCAGATGATTTGTTAATTTAGTTCTGATATTCTTGAATTTCTGTCTACTCTCGCTGCTTACGAGCTCCTGCCTGTTTCTAGTTTGATATTCGTTTATATGTTTAGGATCTGCGCACATTGGAAACGCCGAGAAGCAAATGCTTGGCGTTGCGAATTTGTTGCAGCTTGGCGATATGTCACTAGAAAAAAAAATAGTAATATGTATACCGGAGCGCAAAGAACGTTGCCGCTCTCGAAATATTTCTCGAGCGTCAAAGTAGCATTTTGCGCTCTTCATACGCTAAAAGATATTCCGAAATAACGCGCCGTTTCACGATTGATTATATAGACGATTTATCATCCTGATGAAATATTGTGAAACTTAATAAACGATGTTACTTTGAAGCTAAAAAAATACAAAAAAATGTAAATACTTACTTGGACTGGGAGATTACCAAAAAAGAAGCATCGAGCTTATCCTCGATCTCTTTCTGAGTATACGGCGGTTGGACAAATACGTATCTATTCGCCAAGTAATTCCTACACTTAATGCCCCTGTACAATTGACAAAAAGGCTCCGAGCTGTTGTATATGGGAACATGTGCGGTGTTCTCCGCAATTTTCCCATCAGCATCGAGGTCGAACTGTATGGGAGTCGAGAAAGTTTTCGATTTCGAGCCCAATGTTGGCGTGAATTCTCCGTTGCTCGATCTGGCAACGGTGTTAGGCAGGAAAGTTGTTATGTCGTTGTAACTGTAAAAAATACTAACTTTACTCAATGAATGGTCGAAAATTCACTAAAATCTTACTCGGAAAAAGCGGTTTCTCGTTTTCTTTGAGTAAAATGTGAATAGTGGAATAAAGCACATAGCAAAAGAAAACATGTAAGAGTTGAGCAAAATTATCTAACTTTATAAATTGCATAAATTCTCTAAACTCTCCAAAGTCTATATTCTCCAGTCCTTAAATTCTCTTAATTCTTTAAACTCTTTTAATTCTTTGAGTTATTTAAACTATTTCTTTGATTCTTTATATTCTTTAGATTCTTTAAATTCACTAGATTCCTTAAATTCTTTATATCCTTTGTATTCTTTAAATTCTTTAAATTCTTTAAATTCTTTAAATTCTTTAAATTCTTTAAATTCTTTAAATTCTTTAAATTCTTTAAATTCTTTAAATTCTTTAAATTCTTTAAATTCTTTAAATTCTTTAAATTCTTTAAATTCTTTAAATTCTTTAAATTCTTTAAATTCTTTAAATTCTTTAAATTCTTTAAATTCTTTAAATTCTTTAAATTCTTTAAATTCTTTAAATTCTTAAATTCTTTAAATTCTTTAAATTCTTTAAATTCTTTAATTCTTAAATTCTTTAAATTCTTTAAATTCTTTAAATTCTTTAAATTCTTATTTAATTCTTACATTCTTTAAATTCTTTACATTCTTTACATTCTTTAAATTCTTTATATTCCTTAGATTCTTTTAATTCCTTGGATTCTTTAAATTCTTCAAATTCTTTTAATTCCTTGGATTATCAAAATCCTTAGGTTCTTCAAATTCTTTAAAGTTTTTAAATTCTTTAAAACATCTAAATTCTCCAAATTCCCTAAACACTCTAAAATGTCCAAAATCTCTGAATTTTCTAATTTCTCTAAATTCCCTACATCCTCTAAATCTTTTTAATTCTCTAAAGCATCTAAATTCGCTAAATCACCTAAATTCTCCCAATTTCCCTAAATTCCTTTCTCTAAATTCTCCAAATTCGCTAAATTCTCTAGATTCTTCTAATTCTCTAAATCCGCCAAAGCCTCTAAATTCTCTAAATTCCCCAAATTCTCTAACCTCTCTAAATTCTCCAATTTCTCTAAACTTTCTAAATTCTCTTAAGACAGAATTTAATATTGATCTAGATTTAGCAACACTCATTATACTATTCAAATATACTTAATAATTATCAATCTAATTACAGTATAGTTTGTATTAAGGATACTCGGTATGTTTTTCAAATATTCTCACCTTTCTGCATCTAAATGTTCAAATTTCAAACTACTGACGTCAGTGCCACCTAAAAAAAAATAACGGCATTCAAAGTTGTTCTCGTTTATTATTGTCGTGTGATGTATTTCCTGCTCCAGAGATCATGCAACTGTTTTGTACGCAAGAATGCGTTATACGAACATAAAGAGAAAGGTTTATGTACATATTCGGAAATTCTCCTACTTACCCTGCTTGTGCGCTTCTCTATTTACTTCTAAAAAGGCTGCAGATCTGATTTTGTCAACGCCATTACTGGCTATACACTCTACAAAACCTCTATCGAAATATTCTAGTTTCGATATGCGTAATGCGGAGCTGAATGTGTTGTCTTTGCCCTGAAAACGTGAAACATTATGGGAAAACCATCGGAAGCAGCTAAAAATAAACAGAAATAGTTCCAAGTAAAGACAAGATTTATGACGAGCCGCTGGATTTCCAACGATTTGGATATAAGCGCACGGAAAATCGGAAGTTATTATTACAAAATTTCAGTTGCAATTTTTTAGTTAGGGATTCAAATTCACCATTTCTGGAAAATCCTTTATGTGAAACGTGAAAGTCTTATTCCTCACCTTATTCCTTATTTTAAACCTATCGTTGAGATTCGAGCCAGCTGGTGCATCGTTGTGCCTCCAGTTAAAAGTTACTTTAGAATTTGAATTATTTGTTTCCGAGTTTTTTACTTCGCATTCGAGTCGTACCGATTTTCCTTCTTCCCTCGTAGTATTTTCTAATTGTTTCAGAAACATCAACGTCCCTGAAAAAAACAATTTTATGAAAAAAAAAAACGGAATCAACTAAACACCTAAATCCCTGGAAGGAAAAAAATTATAGAAAAATGGAATCACGTAGACTAACTCAGTACTTCCCAATATTGATATAAGTCTACGAGTATACTAAGTGACGTATAAAATGCAACACCCAAACTTATGTATTGAATTTTGATAAAAACAAGTGAACGCTGATAAAATGTTGAAGGCATTCTGAGCAGCACTTTTTTGGCAAGGCTTTTTTGCATTTTCTATGTCATTTAGCATATTTAAGGTTCTAGCCAAACGAACATGATGACGTAATGTTAGTCTTAAGTAACATGCATCATTCAAAATTTTTCTCAAGTATCTAGAAAACATTTTAGTATGTCATGAAAGTAGCGAGGTTAAGTATTCGTTTTCACGTTTTCTAAAATATAGTTTTTGACAATGCACATAATACAAACAATTTGCTTATCATTTGAAGTGCAGATCGTGTTTGAGAATTTAAATATCTACAGAGAAATGCACTGCAATATCGTCAAAATAATGTAGTACCATCGGTAAATTATTTGGGCTTTTCATACAAATCAAAATAATTTTGCGATAAATCTGGTATATGAAACAAATTACTAAATGATAATTTCAAGACCTACCTACGACATTCCGTTTTTTGAAATAACTAAAGTTTAACAATGCCATTGTACGAGATATTGCACATTTTTGAAATCAATTCAAAACTATTCACCTGTGCAAAAATCCAATATAGCCAATTCGTTTTTTCTTTAAAAGCCTTAAATTCTTTAATTTTTTTAAATTCTTTTAAATTCTTTAAATTCTTTAAATTCTTTAAATTCTTTAAATTCTTCAAATTCATTAAATTCTTCAAATTCTTTAAATTCTTTAAATTCTTCACGTTCTTTGAATTCTTTAAATTATTTGAATTCTTTAAATCATCTAAAATCCAATATAGTGTCCTAAAGTTGATGCTGGAGGACAAGAGACGATACGTCACATTGTTGAGGAGAAAAGTGGCAATGCTAATGTGTAATTTATTTTGAAATTCCATTACAAATGAAGTAAGGAAAATATATAAAACGATTTTGGGAGAATTCGTTTTTTTCTTTAAATTCTTTAAATTCTTTAAATCCCTTAAATTCTTTAAATCCTTTAAATCCTTTACATTCTTTAAGTTATTTAAATTCTTTAAATCCTTTAAATTCCTTAAATTCTTCATGTTCTTTAAATTCTTTACATTATTTAAATTCTTTGAATTCTTTAAATCATCTAAAACCAATATAGCGTCCTAAAGTTGATGTTGGAGGACAAGAGACGAAACATCGTATTGTAGAGGAGAAAAAGTGGCAATGCTAATGTGTAATTTATTTTGAAATTCCATTACAAATGAAGTAAGGAAAAAATATAAAACGATTTAGGGGAATTCGTTTTCTTTCGTCGGAAGTACTTTGAATTTCGAAACTTTACTTGTGTTTTACTATGGAATCTTGAATGATTCGATCACATAAAAATGTTTTGATTCTCACCAAAGTGGAGCGCGAGAAGTTACAGTTTCCAGGTATACTTTGAATCGCTCTGCGATTAGGAAAGCAATATTAACGATCTCAGAATCGCACGTTTCCCCGTTTTCTAGCATACATCATTCGGTCTTTGCCTTCCTGTATGCCTTTGGATACGGGCCGCAGTAGCCTATTGAAATTTTCAACGGAATTATGATGGATGGCCATGATGCATCATTTTGTCGGCCTGAACTGATATAATCAATAAACCAGCCCTTCCTACATGTATACGCTGACTTATTCACGTTATGTTTAATCACCATCTGCCGCTCCATGTTGGCAACTAACGTATCGGAGATATTAGACAAAGAAAACAAAGGCCAATCATCTGAAGATACAAACAAAATTTGCAGGGTTTATGAAACTCCAACATTTATGCTATGTCAAAACTCAAATTTCATTTACACTTTGACAGATTTTTTATAACACATGTTTGAACTTTTCTACTTGAATTTGGTCCAGCAATGCGCACTTATAATTACGGCCTGTTAGCTTGATACTAAGTAATAATAAAATATAATACTATAAGCTAAAAAGCGTCCATACATGCCAGCTACAAAAATTAACTACGAACCGTTCGAGGTAGAATTTATATTGGACAGATCTTCATAGTCCATATCATCCCCGTAGTCCTGAGAAAGCGTAGAAATAACTGTAAAAAAATAAAATATATGAGCACAATTCATTTTAAACTCGAAATACTCATTTAAAAATTAGGATCTAATATAATCTAAGCGATGTATAAAACTGCAGCCCAAACTAAGGCCATAGACAGCGAGGTACTTTTCTAGAAAATCGATCGCATTTTTGAGGGCGTAGATCGGAATAATACAATACGCAGTTCTTAGCATTCTAACGCTATGCTGAATATTGTACGTTGATGTCTTTATTTAAAACCTCCCGTAGCGCAGTTGCTGGTATGCTAATGCAATGCTAGAGATATACTTAATCCCTATCTTTAATCATTTTCTATTCTTTAGCATCTTTGATCTGTCATCTGTCGTCTGTCATCTGTCATCAGTTATCAGGTGGCAATTGTCAGTTGTCTGTTACCTCTTATCTCTTATCTGTCATCAATACCTCGTATTAGAGGTATCATTTCAATGTTCTCTCTTATTGAAGTCTGATATTACTAATTCTGGCGTGTGCGTTATGAAAGCAAGACTTGCTATACGTATTCTACCTGGAAACGGCCAAACGAGATAATTGGAAATCTACTTTGAAGGGGCTAATGAGAATAGATGGCGCTGTAAACTGTATGAGCTATATATACATACATCCATCCATACGTACATGCATACACATACATACATACAGACGAACGTACGTACATACATACATACATACATACAGACGTACGTACGTACGTACGTACGTACATACATACATACATACATACATCCATCCATCCATCCATTCGTACATACATACACATAACTACATACAGACGTACGTACGTACGTACATACATACATACATACATCCATCCATACGTACGTACATACATACATACAGACGTACGTACGTACGTACGTACATACATACATCCATCCATACGTACATACATACACATACATACAGACGTACGTACGTACATACATACATACGTACATACATACATACATCCATCCATACATACATACATACATACAGCCGTACGTACGTACGTACATACATACATACATACATCCATCCAAACGTACATACATACATATAACTACATACAGACGTACGTACGTACATACATTACATACATACATACATACATCCATACATACATCCACACATACATACATACATACATACATACAGACGTACGTACATACATACATACATACATCCATCCATACGTACATACATACACATGTACGTACAGACGTACGTACGTACGTACATACATACATCCATCCATACGTACATACATACACATACATACATACAGACGTACGTACATACGTACATACATACATACAGACGTACGTACATACATACATACATTACATACATACAGGCAAAGCTAATAAAAGCGTGTTAAAAAAGCTAATTCAAAGTAGATATCTTATAAGAAAACCTACATACTGTCAAAAAAAGATATAATTTTTTCGAGGTACGTAGCAGTAGGCCAGTAGGCGTGGATAGTAAAAAAAGAAAACATTAACGTGACGCTCGCACGTCCTGTACAAAATCATAAAAAGGACGAAACATGAGTTCAACGTTTGTTCGGTGGAACGTATAAAGGTTTATGCGAACCGTAATGTTGCATTTTTATACGCGAGCGTGTTTTGTATCTCGCATTTTAATTCTCCGTGGAGACTTTTAAGCTTTTAACACCGTGAAATAATGCAAATTCCGCTCCCCCGCAACACTATAAAAAATAAACAGGTGCAAAGCACCGCGCAATCCGAACGCGCTATTTTTTCCCGATCTGTATAAAGCGAGCTTAATATGCTGTTGCCCTACTTACTCACAACATCACATATTTTCCGACGGCAGTTTATTCGAATTTACGTTCCAGTAGAACGCGCCGAAAATACTACAACCGAAAAGCCACCTTGACAAACGGTATACAGCGAGTCGAAAAAGTATTGACACACATTGGTTTTTCTCGAAATGATTCTGTATCCTCGCTAAGATTTTCTTGTTTTATGATAATTATATAACAATTCTTTAAGGTTCCATATGAGTGCAATATGCCTCACTGAGCGATAATACGAGAAAAAATATATTAATAAATAAATTTTATAACCGTTCCACCCGCCAATAAAACGATTTTAGTGATGTTCGCTAATGAATAAACTCGTATCAGTTAATATTATACAGTAAATAGAAATAATTTTGAACAGCTTTTATAAGTGAACTGTTAAACTGTATTACTTTAATATCTCGATTTCGGTAGGACTATTACATTTTTTTTTTTGAAATCAACTTCTTCCGTAACATTAGATATGTGGTTAAGATTTGTCGGATAAGTTGTGAAACACCCTGTATAATAACTTGTTGCGTAAACGTTTATGAAACAATATTAAAATTTGCCGTAAAACTATTTTGTATTTTTGCTCTAAAAACGTTCTCACGATACCATATAAAGTAAAATATCAACCATCAGATTACAAAGCAAATTTCTATCTGTCTGGTATTGTGTGTATATAAATCAGAACTCTCTTTAACTTCTTTTTTTGACAGCATAATGACTATATTTAAAGCATGCTATTCAACAATATCAACGTTTTATAACGGGTGATTTTTTAAGAGGTACAGGATTTGATTTTCAAAAAAAAAACACAAAAAATTTGAAAAAACGATTAAATCTTTATTTGAGTCGATAGAACGGTCGATATAATTTAATGTTTAAAGATTATTTCATGTAAATGTTGGCCGCGGCTAGCTTTAGATGGCCCATGCGCAAGGTGCAATTTTGGCACACTCTCTCCAACATATCGGCCGGTATCTCACGAATAAATGCTTCAATATTGGCTTCCAGTGCGTCAATCGTTGCTGGTTTATCCCTGTAGACATTAGCCTTAACATGGCCCCACAAGAAATAGTCCAACGGCGTTAAATCACACGATCTAGGCGGCCAATGGACGGGCACCAAACGCGAGATAAACTGTTCACCGAACTCGCCTCTCAATAGGGCCATTGTTTCGTGTGCGGTGTGGCATGTGGACCGTCTTGTTGAAACCACATGTCAGCCAAGTCCAGCTCCTCCATTTTGGATAAAAAAAAGTTTGTTATCATCGCACGGTAGCGCTCGCCATTCACAGTTACGTTCCGGCCATTGTCGTCTTTGAAGAAGTAGGGCCCGATGATGCCACCGGCCCATAATCCACATCAAACAGTATTTTTTTCGGGATGCATTGGTAGTTCTTGCAATGCTTCTGCTGGTCTTCACTCCATATGCTGCAATTTTGCTTGTTAACGTACCCATTCAACCAGAAATGAGCTTCGTCGCTGAACACAATTTTTCGATAAAAATGTGGATCTTCCTCCAACTTTGCCAGCGCCCATTCACCAAATTGGAAACGTTGTGGCTTCAATTCTTACACCAGCTATATCTTATAAGGTTTTACACCCAAATCCTGTCGCAAAATGTTCCACGTAGTGGAGTACCAGAGGCCCAATTGCTGCGAACGGCGGCGAATCGACATTTTACGGTCATCACTAACACTGGCGGATACAGCCGCAATATTTTCTTCAGTCCTCACTCTACGTCTGCATGTTGGTGGTTTAATGTCCAATAATGTAAACTGGGTTCGAAATTTAGTCACCAGCTTCCGAATAGCTCCCTCAGTAGGCCGACCAAATTGCCCATAAATTGGAAGCAGTGCTCGATGCACTCTCTTAACCGAGCATGAATTTTGATAGTAAAATTCAATAATTTGCAAGCGTTGTTCGTTCGTAAGTCGATTCATGGTTAAATTATAGACCAAACTGAACAAGTTTGACAATGACACAAGACACGATTCACGCGTCATCTGTCAAAAACAGTGTTGCCAAAAAGATACTAGCAAAAAAATCACCCATTATTTGCTTTTGTTTACCTTTGTTAAAATGTTATCGCTTAGTTTTTGTGAAGAAAGCAGTTTCTGCGAGCTGAGAGTACATATATTTTTAGGTATTGCCCTTTAATTTACTGGTGTTAAGCATAACAAAATGTTGGGAATTCGGAAACGTCCAAATTATCCTATGTCCTATGTCCTAGCGCGAAATCAGCCGCCGCGTTAATTCTACTGCGATGACGGTAATGCGTGTGTGTTGTGTGTGGATAGCAGAAGGTAGAGGAACACGGGTCGCTCAATACATTATTCATTTTTTTCTTATTGTCAATCAAATTTCTTAAGAATGCTATCATTGCGAAAAATCAAGCTGAAAAAATTATGTTTTCTAGGTGTAATTAACGTCAGTATACTATTATTAATGTCTCCACCTACAACCTCAAATGCTTCCGAGATCCGTAGAACAACCAGCAGATCGCGGAAAAAGAACCTCACAATCGCGGATTCGCTCTCACCGGTCTCAGACAGCCGAGTCGTGCCAGAAATAAATGAGAGTGTTCTATATATTTAGAATTGAGATTTCAAAGATATAAACATCCAGCAGCATGAACAGCTAGACGCATTTCGTATCGCGCCGATCACAAAAAGAGGAAGAAGTTCGACAAAAGGAGTAGCGAAGTCTCGGAAGGCGATCAATGTGATTTGTGTCGAGTGCCAAGTGGTTGTTAAGTCGTTGCGTGACACGTGAAGTTGTGAATTGTGAATTGGAAGTGACAGCGTGGATGTTCGTATGTTTCGGTTTTGTTGTTCGTCCTTTGTCTTTGATGGTACAGTTGGATACGAGGCGGAATATTTGTTTTGTAAGTACTTGGATGAATGGAGTCTGTGGGTAATCGGTACAGTTCAAAATAATAAGAAATGTTCTTTATACAGAAAGTTATCTTCAAGCTTTGGTTGAAACTTGAAACTCATATAATATACGGCATCTCAGCCTGTGGTGCCACCTGCAAGACATATTTCTGATCTAAATGTAGCACAAAAAAAATGTTGTTTTCCATAAGCCAAGGTTTTGTCCATCAAAAAATTTATACAGGGTGATTCACAAGTCGTGACCACAAATGAAATATCATACACAGGACCGCATTTCAAAGGGGGTCTTCCAAATGCATGTAAGATTTTGGATACCACAATATAAGTTCACACCTCGCCAAAAAGTGTTTTAACGACGAAGTGACGCTTCTCCTCTATAGTCGATATTATTTTGACACTACCTAGATGATTTTTGAACCAGCTTAGGCGCTTATACAACGTTGCAAATACTATTAACCTTAAAAAAATCAACCACATTTAACATATGAGACATGAACTACAAGGAACGATTGTACCTGAACCTAATAAATCTATAACACACCTTTATTTAGGACCAAAATGCCAGGCATACACAAAGTAATAGTAAAGTAAACATCAAATAATTCGTTGATTAGTTGTATCGGTATCTGTGTTTTAATTATATGCACAATTGCAACATTAATGTCCGATGTACGTGCAATGGTTCCTATGGACCCTTTTTTCATATTTACAAGGACTAAATAAATATTATTTACATTTGAACGGCAAATACTTTAAGAACAATTACTTCACGTGGAGTAAAGATTCATATTCCTGTTAGCAACAACCACCATTCCAAATTTTTACCTGTCACCCCCGACTATACTTCTATAAACGAATTTTCGCACTTTGCGGCTGAATTCACTTATAAGTTTCGTAATTGCGTTATGTCAATGCTTACAAGCCCTTTTATACAATATGGGGGAAGAACGGCGAGTCCAATGAGCTCGTTTATGCAAAATACCGAGTGCAGACAGGGGAGTAACAAGTTCGCTCGGAGAGAAAATGAGCAGGTATCCGACTCATTAAGTCTGGAGCGAGGTGTGAACAGGGAACAGTAAAACTGAAGCAGTGGTGTACACGAAGGGTACACAGAGGTATACGTCTCTTCACGTTTTTTTTTATACAGAGACCGGTGCATAGGCCTAAAGCCTAAACACACATTAGGTACCGTGTGGCTATAGGGGGTACACGGGAAAGGGGGAACGCCACACGGACTCTGGCGAGGGAACACGTGTGCATACATCATGCACACATTCTGGCTCCGCCTACGAGATCCGCCGGGTGGTACCTCCGCGTGCGACAGTCAGAGACCGTCTACCACCTACGGACAATCCCAACATCCATAGCCAAGAGAAAAATTTCTTTTGGGACGGGATTCGCACCCGCACAGCGCACGGCGACTGATCAGGAGACCGAAGAGTCTACTACTGCGGCCACCGCTGCTACCTAAACAACAGCGTACCGCGACTGTTATTATCGTTTTTCTCGCAAATATGGAATATTCTTTTGACGCCTTCCTCGAAATGTCGGGGTGGAGGGAACAACATCGACGATGTCACCATGGTGACCTCTAGAGGCTGACGGTTCTGGCGATATCATGTAGTCCACCCTCCATTTAACAAACTAAGCATACTGTCGAATGTGATATAGTCTGCCAGAAAAAGCTTTTTCTAGTTCTACTAAGGCCTTAAGACCTTAAAAGCTGTTACCGGCTCCACCACTGTTTTGTTGTCTACGATAAGCCCAACGTTGCGCGTCTGTTTAAGGGGATTCGAGTTCGTTAATGAGCGAAAATTAGCGAGAAACATTAGCAGGAAATCGATTATTCCGACGGAGGCGAACACAGTAAATAACCTTCGTTATCCATTATATTAGATAGAATTGTTTAATGGTACAGTACATGGGGATTGTCGTCTTGTACTTGTATTTTATAATTTGTATCATGTCTCTCTTCAACATCAGTTATGTTAATCTCGTATTTTACCACTTACCTGTATTTATACCATGTATCATAGACGTATTTATTTAAGCATTTTTGTTTTTACTGCTCAACTAATCTATCTATCTATCTATCTATTTATTAAAGATCGTTTTACTTCTCAATTTGCACATAGATTACATTAACACCTTTTTCTCAAATACTATTAAAAACATTGAAAATGACATAGGATTTAACGGTGGAAGATTGGAATTAATTATAACGGCTAGGCCATCAGTTGTTTTTTTTTAAGTTGGTATTATTTTGACAGTTGGTAACACTTCCATGCTCAACATCATCCAGGAATTAAATTCGCCTGGGGGCGGATCATGACCCCCCTGGATCCTACTGCCAGGCCAGCCCCGGTAGCCATTTAACTAAAATTGTTTTTCATAAATAATCGGAAGGTGTATTTTTTTGAATAAAGTATCGAGTGTTACATATCATTGAAGAGCGTAGTTTTAATACCAATTTAAAAAGAAACCAACGGATGATCCACCCTTTATAAATATACTAAGTGACATATAAATCCGAACACCCAGTTTAAATGGATTTATTTTAATAAAAGTTGGTGAATGTATTTATCTTACTGTAAATAACAAGTGAAAAAATTTTCAGCCTTATCAGTTGGACATTCCGGTTTTTATACTGCTTTTTTTTAATTCACTAACGCTCTAAAAATGAATATTTCAGCCGCAGTAAAGAATCAATGTTGGTGGATTTTGGTTCTTGACATCCTTTACTGTCGGTTACGATGCCTAGAGTACGGGGACCTGTACGATTTCGTCAACTTAGTGAGTTTGATAGGGGCCGTATAGTGGGACTTCGGGAAGCTGGACTTTCTTTTCGGGCAATTACAGTTAGAGTGCAAAGAAGTGTAGACACTGTGGTTAGGTGTTGTCAGGCATGGCTTCGAGAAGGCCGTACGCAAAGAGCAAGGGGCACTGGACGCCGCCGTAGAACAACAGACCGTGAAGATCGCCGCCTAAGATTATTGGCCTTAAGGGACCGTTTCTCCACTACCAGGTCCATTGCAAATGAATCGTTTGCAGAACACGGAAGACCTATTGGCAAGCGAAGTGTTTACCGACGAATGAGAAGTTTTGGCTTGTTTTCATACCGGTCACACTGGGTCCTCCCTTTAACTCGAGAACACCGACGTAATCGCCTTGAGTGGTGCAGACAACGGTCACTCTGGGATCAGGAATGGAACAGTATTGTCTTTAGTGACGAGTCTCGATTTTGTTTAGGCATGCACGATGGTCGTGCCAGGGTTAGAAGGCGACGTGGTGAAAGGAGGAATCCACAGTTTTTTGTTGAAAGACATGTTCATCACACTGTTGGAGTTATGGTTTTGGGGTGCTATAGCTTATGGTTCCAGGTCACCTTTAATCTTCATCAGAGGTAACAGGAGCGCGCAGCGTTATATCCACGAAGTTCTAGAACCCCATCTTTTACCCTATCTTGACACCCTGGCAGATCCAACTTTCCAACAAGATAATGCCCGACCACATGTTGCAAGAGTCACAATAGACTTCTTTCAACATAATGATGTCACATTGTTACCATGGCCACCAAGATCTCCCGACTTATCCCCAATTGAGCACGTGTGGGATATGATGGGTAGGAGATTGCTCAATTTGCAACGTCCTCCTCAGGCTCTAGAAGCACTTCGAGAGGAGTTGGTGGTTGCCTGGAATGAGATACCACAGGAGGACATTGACCACCTGATCAGAAGCATGCCTAGGCGCGTTGGAGAATGCGTAGCACATCAGGGTGCATCCACACATTATTAAAGGTCAAAGGGCTTTAAAGCAGTGCAATCATTTTGAAATTTTTATCATTTACTTATTATGCTTCATTAAGTACTTATACAAAATTTTATTAAAATAAAACCATTTAAACTGGGTGTTCGGATTTATATGTCACTTAGTATAGTATTCATATATCTAAATTAATCAAAATGGTCAAATTAAAACCTACGCGTGTGTATTTTTGAAATGACTCAAATATCATACATACGTATAACGATTTAGAAGATATTTTAAAATTTCAAATATTTGGCTGAAAAATAAATGTATTAGATGATTTATTACTGTCGAAATATATGCATCTGTTTAGTTGTGTGATAGAACGGTCACTCAAAATAGTGCTGATATATCGGGAATATCAGTATTTTCCATTCGAGGAAGGGCAATCGGCATTAATCACACTTTTTCCCTCTTGATGTTAGAATATAAGACTTTTATTTGATAACTTGCAGTTTCATTATCGTTAAACGCTCAAGAAATATGAAACGGCATATTACCAAATCTAATCCAAATGAAAACATTAAACTGGATGTTCGAACAGACCTCCTTCTTGGGTTTGACAGCAACCGGAAGCCTGTGAGTAAAAGTCAGATAGATCGAATAAAGTGAGTCGCCAGCATCCCTGCAAATTTGATGGCAAAAATGCAAAGCGGCTCTAAACTGTTCCCACATTCTTTTGATGTAATTGATTAGAATTCTAAGGGTCAATCTCACCAACATTAATATTTAACGGTCCTTTGGACCAATGGAAAAATACCTTATCGAAATGCAATCTGACGGAAGCTGTCAAAGGTCTCTGAATATCAGTGGTTTCTATTGAAATGTTGATTAAAGTCGTGAAAAAACGGTTGCCTTATAAATAAAGGTACATTATAGATTCAAATTTTTATCATTTCACAAAAGACGGTCAGTTATTTAAATGGACCAATGAAAATTAGAAAAATAATAGTTCGATTTTCTAGCTAGTTTTTGACGACTGTTCATGCATGGCAATCTAGTTTTGTCTGTATATCACGTACAGGGTGTTGTAAAGGGTTGTCCAATAGGGACGCAGGAAAGTAAACGCCAATTTGACATAGACGCCATCTTTGTTTTCTGTCACCGACATGTCATTTTGTTAGTTGAATGTTTACCATTGATCGCTATGGAGTCGTATTCGATTGAAGACCGCGTTAAAGTT